TAATATTATATTAGAAATTTTATAGCTCAGGAATCATAATTTATAGATTAATTAAAGAACTAAGAGTCTTTAATTCATAAATTATAATTATTTAAGATAATATTATTAAGAATTAAATATAAGATCTAGATCTGTACAGTCTACTATATAATATAAGATTAAAATAAAAACTAAGTATTCTATAAAAAAATTAAAAATATTATAAAAGTCTAATATACCAGGCACTGTAGGAGATTTAGAAAAAAATAATATTTTAAAAATTATAAAATAAATATTAATAGTAATAAAATTATTATAGATTAATAAGTTAGTATATTTACTAGAATAAACACTGAATATATTATAAAAATATTATAAGTTATGCTTAAGTAATATTAACAGAAATTAGATTTATATATATTAAATTATAAAGCTAGAAAGCCAAGAACAAGAACTTAAGATTAATAATATAAAATAATAAAAGATTTATATATAGAAATATAAATCTAATAATATAAATTAAAAAACTCAAGACAGATAAAAATCCAAGCATATTAATATAAGATTAAAGAATTTATAAGAACTTCTAGCTATAACCAGAAGTGATCTGTGTATTTTATTATAATATAAGAAATTCAGAAATTTATTTAAATAATTAAAATAATCTAAATTATTTTAATACAGAAAATATAATTACATTATTTTTATTAAAGAAAAAAAGTCACTGGTATATAAAAAGATTTATCTAATATTTAAAAAAGAATTACAGATATTATAAAAATATATTAATAATTAATTAATTAAAAATAATATCAGATTATTAAAATCACCCGTGAGATATGGAATCTTCTTTATACTAAAAAAAAACAGTAGTTTATAATTATATATAGATTACTAATTACTTAATATAATTATAATCAAGAACTAATATTCTTTACTCTTAATCTCAGAAATCTAAAATAAGATATAAGAAGTAAAATAATTTACTAAGCTTAATATTATAGATATATATTATTATATATATATTATGAAAGATAAAGAATAGAAAACTATATTTAAGATAAAGTATAAATATTTTAAATATTTAATTATATTATTTAAGTTTATTGATATATTTATATTATTTTAGTAATATATTAATAAGATATTGGAAGAGCACCTTGACAGATTTATAATTATTTATTTAAATAATATTCTAATCTTCTTAAAAATCAAGAAAAAATATATAAAATATATAAGACTTATATTGCACAGACTACATCTATATTATTTATAATATAAATTAAAGAAATATAAATTCTATATACAGAAAACAGAGTTTCTGGAATATTAAATATTTATAAAGAAAATTTATATTAAGTAAATTAAAATATAAGCTATTAGAGACTAGCCTTGACTTAAAAATCTAAAAGAACTTTAATAATTTATTAAGCTAGTTAATTATTATTAATAATTTATAGATAGGTATACTATCCATATAATATTATTGTTTAAACTTATAAAAAAAATATAGGAATTCAGATAGAAAGAACTGCAGTAGTATATATTCAAAAATATTAAATATTAATTTATTATATTACTAGTGCTAGTGCAGCATGACCTAAAAAAGAAAATAATTATTAAAATTAATATATCAGATTATATTATTAAATATATATATAATACAGCCAGAAGATAATGGGAAGCCTAGATTAATTATATTTTATTTAAGAAAGTTAGTTTAGATAGAATTTAATTATAATATTTATAATAAGAAATTGCTAGTTATAATAATAATTTTTAAATAATAAAAAATCTATCTTAAAAAAGCAAAATATACTATTATTATAAAAATAGATTATAAGAATTTAATCTACTTTATAATAATTAAAAAATTAACTAGAAGGTAGGCAAGATAAGCAGAAATCTTATTATAATATAATTTTTATATTATATATTATAAGAAAGTAGAAAATAAATATATAGATATACTAAGTTGCAGGCCAGACTATAAAATAAAAGAAAAAGTTATTAAGCTAGCTATTCTAAAATAAAATAAAAATAGATTAATCAGTTATAATAAAGCTAATCTTATAGTAATACTGGAGATTAGCAGTAATCTAATTAAATAATTAATTAATATTATTAAAGAAGACAAGATATTCCAGGAAATAAGTAAAAGTTTACTAGAAAAAATTATTATTAATAAGAAAAGATTAGTTTATTTTCACAGACTAATCTTTATATTAATCAATATAAAAACAGAAATTATAATTATGTACTATGATAAACTACTTAAAAAATATTTAAAAGTTAAAAAAAATTATAAAATTAATTACTAGAAACTACTACATCCTGAATCTCAGATAAAAAATATATAATTATATTAAATAATATAAAATATATATTAGAGACAAGCCTATAAGATATTAATTTTATAAATAAATATAAGTACAGGAAATATTATAATAATTATAGAAATAAATAATAATTAACTTTATTAGTCTACTACCTGAATTAAAAAAATATAATATTATTATAATTATTACTGACTATCTTACTAAATATATTTATCTTATACTAAGTAAAATAATAATAATAGTAATACAGATAATAGAATTATTTTTAAAAAATATTATTATAAACTACAGAATACTAAAATATATTATATTAGATAAAAATAAATTATTTATTTTAAAATTCTAAAGATTATTTACAGATTTTATAAGAATTAAAGAATGAATGATAACAGTTTATTACTTATAAATAAATAAATAAATAGAAAGAGTTAACTAGATAATTAAGTAATATTTAAGATATTATATTAATTATTAATAAAATAATTAGGCAGACCTATTATCTATAATATAATTTTTATATAATAATATTAATTACTTAATAATTAGAGTTTTATTATTTTATACTAACTATAGTTACTATCTAAGATTCCTGGAAATATCATTAGAGAAGTAACTAGTTATTAATATAATTAAAAATATTATTATATTTACAGGACATATATATATCCAGTTATTCTAAGATATTAAATTCATGAATTTATAAAATAAAATCTACTATGATCACTGACATAGAAAAGAATTTAATTTAAAAAAAATATTTCTGCTTTATTAAAATATTAAAATAAAATAACTAAGCCAGAAGCTTAACTATTATAAACTAGGATTATTTATTATTAAAGAAAAAAAAAACCAGTTAATTATAAACTAAGATTATTAAAATTAATAGATAAAATTTATCCAGTATTTTATATTTTATTATTAGAATCTGTACTAAAGAATGCTAGAATCATAAAAAATATAGAAATTAATAATAATATTAAATAAAAATATAATATTAAAAAAATTCTAGACTACAAGAAGATTAGCAGTAAATTATATTATTTAATAAAATAAAAAGATTATAATATTTTAAAAAATATATAGAAACTTATTAAGAATCTGATAGATTATTACTGATTTATAGAATAGTATTACTAGCAGATAAATTAAAATTTATCTAGAAGAAAAAAGAACTAACTAATTAAGTTAGATTAGGATTATCTGATATAATAATAAATTAAGTAATATTATATTTATCAGCTAGATACTCCAGCTCCTGGAGATTCTTAGTATTTAAAAGATTTTTCTTATCTAATTATTTTAATATATTTAAATTATAATCCAATATCCGCTCACCATAATTCTTTAGAAATTGTTGTTATTTAAATAAATAAGTTATCTTAATAGAAATATAAGCCTGCTCAACCAGGGTTTTAGCAAGTTTATTTTATATTTTTAACTGATTTTATTTTAATTTATTCTACTCTTTATTATTATAAAACTATTTCTTATATTTCTGACTATAATAAATACAGATAATATAGTTTTGACTTTTTAAATTTATAATATAAGGAATACTTTTTAGAAAATAGTATTTATAAAAGTTTTTAATAATATGACTATTCTTATAAATCTTATTAAATTAATAAATATATTCTTTTACTTAGTTATAATTAATATAATAGTAAAATATATTAATCTATCCTGAGAAAAAGAAATTAAAAAACCTAGTTAATATATACAGAAGGAAGCATATATCTTTATATTTTTTAAAGATAAGAAATCTTGAAGAAGGGAAAGTAATATTATAGATTTTTATTAATTAAACTACTAGTAAGACAGACTTATTAAATAGAAAATACTAATAAAAACAGTACTTAAGTAATCAGAAACTCTTATTAAGAAGAATTCTGGATTATTTCTATAATACTCAGAACAGCCTCACATCATGTGATTATCTATTATTAGATTTACTATTAAAAATATATTCAGGGTATACTGGGAGTCCAAAACTATGATTAAATTAATTATTAATTTATCTCAGATAATATATGATATAGTATACAGAGAATAAGATATATAAAAATATTTATTTATGTATTTAGTTAGTTCTGTTCTTTATATTTAATCTATATTATTTTTAAATAATCTATCTTTAAAAGCTTAGTAATATAATACTTGTCTGTATTTACTTACAGATAACTGTGTAGTATTATCTGACCTTACTTCTTTTCTCTTATTTAAGACCAGTTATCTTAGATAAACTATCAGTCTAATACTACCTTGATCCAGTTCGACGGTACATATACCAGTGAAGCTAAGCTAACAGGAACAGGGAAGCGATCCTAGGGTTTGACACTTTATTAAAACTGTTTTAAGTAATTTCAAAGACTTATATCTAAGAATTATCTCTGAGATATTATAGAAAACTATTTAACCTGTTCTTATCTGTAAAGTATGAGATTTAATACTTAATTATAATAATTAATAAATCCATATCTTTTTCTAATTTATTATCTCCAACAGTAAAAATCACTTTTCTATATATTATATAAATATACTTAAAAATAGAGTAAGTACTTCTTCCCGTCTAAAGCAAGGATATTAAGAATTTATAATAAATATAAATAAAAAAATATCAGACAGCTTATTTATAGATTTCTTTACATAGATCTTAAAGCTTCTTTATATTTAATTCTCTATCTATTTCTTAATTATAGATAAACCAGAAGAGATATATACAACATCTTTAAGATTCTCAAGCTGGATACTTTTAATAGTAGTCCCAGAATTATTATTTCTGTAATTAATAAAAACATTGTCTATCTTAATATCTGTATTTAGTTAGCTCCTATTTATTACCTCTTAGAAGAATCAGCTTATCAGTATATATAATATTCTGATTATAAAGCTCTGCTAGTCTATGAAGAGTGTCTTTAAATATTTTCTTTATTATTATAAAAAATAGATCCAGCTGAACAAAATGTAGAAGATGATCTGTAAAATACTTAAAAATAAATATTAATCTTTCAGATATAATATTTTTAATAAAATAAATATAGCTAGCATAGCCGCGTAGTTTATTATTTATTACTATAAGATTGTCAAAGTTAACAGTGTATATATATTTCAATATAAAAATTTAATTATTAGCACTGGGATATAAGTTAGATATTAGCTGTAATATATAATTTAGATTCTACTTATATTACAATATAAACTTAGCATAGAGAATCTGTTTCTTCTTAAAGCACTTGCTGAATATTATAGTTATAACCTGACAGGCTAGTTAATAAATCAGGCTAAGCAGAGCCAGTTATCATAGTTCTAGAGCTATAATAAATTAAGGTTTTTGGTAAACCCAACTTATGATTTAGGAGTCTCCAGAGATTAGATTTTATATACATATGATTTAAACAAGCTTTTGCAGCCACGATGGAAAGCTGTTTAAGTGATAACATCAGAAATATATGGTTCAGGAATACAGTGAGGTATTGGACTAACAGAGGAATTGGGGTCATGTTAGAATAGAACACATTGGTACATTGGTTTAAGTATCTTCGAATTATATTATGTAATGAATATCTGCCCATCAAGCATGTGATGTATGACATTTCTAAGAATACCTTGGTGCCGTTGTTGTGTTTTTCATTGACTAGTTTAGAGGACAACTCAACCCTTTTCCAGTGCCATCTCACAATCTCAAAGCCTAGGAGTTTGTGAAGTATGGTCACCAACTACGTGCTTACTGTTTGTTGTTGGATAGGAAAGGGAGCCGCCATAGAGACACGAGCCAGGCTAACCGCAGTCCGCTGCTCCCACGCTCGCTGCCTGCCTTGCTTGATAGGCTTGGCCGCTCAAGCTGGCATTTTACTCGCCCCTCTTGCCATACCTAAGGGGAAAAGTAACGCCTGAAGCCATTAGTTGGAATATTTCACCCTGACTATAACCGCTCCATCGGTAATATGACAACAAGTTTCCGTCCCATCCGCTTCACAGGGCCCGAGTTTAGGGACAACGGATTAATTTCAAAAGGACGTCAACACAGATACCATGCAGCCATTCATCAAGCAATGGTATGATGATATCATACAGTCATTCTACTACAAAGCAAAAAAAGAATGTAAAGAACGAGAACACGCTTCAACTTGGCATTGACGCGGCTACTCTATCGGGGAGAAAAAGGTCTTACAAATACTGATATTGTACTGATATCGAAGACTTAGATACATATAGAGCAGACAAAACGAATGACTTGTAGTAAAAACAGTAGAAAGGCATTGCAATTCACGAAGAACTGAACAGGAAGTGTTTTAGGTTCTGTTCCTTCAGGAGTTGCCAGATCATATATAACAGAAAGATCAGGGCTGAGAACAGCTGTACTACTCTAGATTCTGTTTTACGAAGTGCGTCAACCGTATAATAATACAGTTATTATCCAGCTCATACACAGTGTAGTACTTGCACTTGTCTTTATCACTTTGATATTCAGATTCCCTTTACAACTGTTAGCATGTATATTAAAAATAGATAAATGATACATCTTACTTCATGGCTATGTAGGCGGTATCAGCATGGAGAGTCTCGATATTATTATTCATAACCTGAATAAATTCGGAACAGACAGATATAACGGGAAAGCCTGTTGGACAGATCCAAGCAGTTGTTTTATTAATATAATCAACAATGACTTTCTTTCCTTCTTTTTCAAGTGCCTGGATAACCTGGCTTAAGACATATCACGCTGCCATTACTGTGAATCACTAGATCACAGTTTTCACGAGGGTATCTGAGGGGCACAAGAGGTTCAAGAGCTCTGGGATATTATGTGACTACCAATCTATAATTTGGCAGGTTTATATCATCATCTTGGGGTTGCTTGACATATGTTTCTATATTCTTTGTCAAGCAAACACATGTGAAAAAATATCCCGGAGTTACTCAATAGTAGGCTGATCTAAAGGACTCTACTTCTGTGTACAATCCCACAGCAACATAACCAGAAAATCACGGGCTGTAGACCAGAGCTAGAAGAATAAATCGAAGCCCTTGAGGTATTTAAATGGAAAAAAATGCGTAGGTAGCTCAAGCACAAAAAGCGTCCATCCAATCACAACTGTGGGCAAGGCGGTCCTTATTCTACGCAGAACAGTTTATTCAGAAACCGGTTTAGTTCTTAAATTAGTTCTTGGCACTACTCCAAGCAGCAACCCTAGCTTATCAAATCACAAATGAGGAAAAGCGATGCTGATTCTGCGCAGAACAGTTTATTCAGAATACGGTTTAACTCGTACAATGTATACTTTTTATGGCGTATGATCACTGCATTAGTGCCAATCCACTGCGACAATCATTAACCAGTAAGGATTGTTTTCGGACTAGCGATTAGCCGTTTCAAGTTAACGGAAATAAAATTCGCTTTATGAGACAGGCGGGGACGGACAAAATTAGGGTTTTAATTGGTGTGTTTGCCCGTAGTCCGCCGTGCACGGCTCCTGGTTACCAAACCCACCCAACTTTCACTCTTGATAGCCGTTGAGCATGAACTAGATCCCTGTCGGTAACCCACTTAACAAGCGCCTGCTGGTGGGCTTTGACCCGTATGGAAAGGATGCCGGTGCATTATAGAGCATGCTAACTCTTTACGGAACCTTCAGCTTAGACTGCAATAGGAGATGGTTAGTACGAAATCTGTATGGATGGCTAGTGTACGACAATTGACAATAGAGACCAAGGACCACATGAAGATTTCCGCGATATGAAATCCTAGGGTTGGGTATTGAAAGGATCTCTTCCCTGTTATGCGATCAACTACGTTTGTCGTCAATCTTGATAATTGGAGGTTCATGGCTAGGATATAGACGCGATATTGGCTATAAAGATGCCAGCCTTTCCTTATGCCCTCACCGCAATTTGGCACAGACCAATCCATCTTTTGTTGTCTCCATCCAAGCAATTTCCTATCAATCCAAAATGTTCTGCATCGCGCGAGCCTCATCAGATCCTGGAAAGCCCTAATTTCCACCTCAGACAACGCAAGACCAACAGCACTCGATGCGACAAAAGAAATTATTGCGGAATATGAAAATGTCCCACTAATGTCCAAACCAGGCCGGCCAATAGAACAGCCAATTAATGTTATTGAAGCCGAGAAAAGATTTGGAATATCCTTTTTCAAAGATTTCTCCTATATCTTATTTTGGAATGGACAATACCATATGGTACTCGAAGCTCGTTTCCAGGATGATCCCGAGAAACTCTATTTCGTGTCATGCCCGAAAAGCGTTCGCAACTCAGATCTTTCCAAGGAAGATCAAGAACTTCTTAAATTGAAACTCCAGGGTGTTAAGGGACGTATATCAGAACCAGACTGGGACCGCCTCAAGCAACGGTACGGTATCTTAAAAGGAGACTGGCTTGTGAAGGACAAAGAGGAAGAAGAAATTTGAGGCTTAGTAATTGGCGTGTGGCGAGGGCTGGAAGATTTTGATGGTACGCGGCCTGAGAATAATCGAACTATCGATCTATAGTAATCTTCACTTTTTTGGTTGAACTCGCTTTGTATGGAACTGCCGCATAACCTGCACTGCCATGTCTTGGGAATGTATGACTTTGGGCAATTTCTTACCAGAATGTCCACGAAACGTAAAAGCTTTTGGGAGGGGTAAGCGGGGTCCCACAGTCGCCCGACAAGAAGATCGGGTCTTAACGACGCTTCAGAACGGATCGGGGTCCCGTGATCAATGATTCTTACCGAAGCATGAGGCTTACTAAAGGTCACGATACAGCCAATCACAGATGAGATCCGTTTGTAATAAATCTGATCGTGAGTTGGGGTTTCCGATCAACAATTGGGGCCTTCGGTTCAGATGCGTAAGCAGTTACCAGACCAAGCACTATAGGAAGTAAAGGTTCGATATTTCCTTTGAAAACCGCCAAACATACCAAGGGAAAGTTTTCCGTATTTGACGTGAAAAGATGATGTTCTTTTGTTTTATTGAACTGTTCAGATTATGGCGATCTATATTCCGAAAAATTTGCCATGGGGTCAATTTCTGGAGTCTACATTTTCCACCAGTTCTCAGAAATTGGTAGCTACGTTTAGTAGGCTACAACTAATTGTTGGGCTAGAACAGCCATACATGATACTTCCCGATAGCTAATGATGGTCTAGTAGATGAGTTACTTGCTACACCAACGAAGACTTAAACACAAATTCGAGAAAATCTACCTACAATTCTGGTCTAGCGTTGGATGTGATGGACACGTAATATTCTACATTTGCATGCATTTGTATTGACAGGCCGTGGTCGTTCAAATTAGTGTAATGAGTTGCATACAGACCGTAGCTGAGCTTGAACACAACTCGATAAGATCTAGAGTATGGCCAAGGATCCTGCGGCACGTTCACAGTGAATGGACGACGGACATACAAGAAGGCAAGTTCCCTCAAGCCACTCAATCTCATGTTCAATACATAAATCGTCAATTTTCCTTCAGGCGCCTCTCCTCGGATACCATCCATTCCAATCTTCAATCTATCACAGCAACTTGTTGTTGTTATATGGCTCGTTTCGCCTTGTCTTTGCTTCACAAGATAAAAGTACTTCTTTCAAAACTCCAAGACTTAAAAAAAGGACGTCCTTACTCCAGCACATTCTCATGAGATAAAGATATCGAACTATAAGATCCATCTCTTATCTTATTCCAGGGCACGCATGAGCACTGGAACCTAAATAAAGAGACTAGTGTATTAAAGTGTTAATATCCCAAGACTATATCGACATCTCTCAGTACTTACCCAAGTAAAGGGATCACTGTACTGCCATACCCAGGCATATCATATAATACAACACCTCCCCTCCCTCAACTCTGACAGAAGGGTAAAAAATTGTGATATTAGACTCATTTTCTCCATCTCTTTTGCATATTCTGATCACGTCTGATGAAATGGAAAGTCTTGAGCTTGTGGACCGTCCTGGTAATGATATTTCTATCAGTTCTATTGAGCTTTGGTGTATATATAGAGACCATGATTATTACTAGCTAATTATCTATACTTATCATTCCGGGAACACGACAAGTGTGAGCCGGGAGGAGAATATTCTAATAAAATAAATTCCAGACTTTTCACGCAAGGAAGCTATTGCTATTATCATTTTTCTGGCTATATATAAGTGCCCTGGCCTCAGAAATCTTATATCTCATGTATGGATTTCAGTCCAAGAGCGTGACTGCAGGTATACTGATTTTGTATAAGTTCAAACTAGAGCTCTTATATATAATACCAGCTCTAATATTCCATAGATTTTTTCTGCTCTGGTATTATAAGTGCCAGGGATTTATTAATAATACAGAAGACTAAGTGTAAAATCTCTTGAGTTAAATAATTAAAATATAGTAAGAATTATTAATCTTTCATGTTCCAGAACATCTTGAATATTTCTACCGTTTCATGTTCCAGAACATCTTGAATATTTCTACCGCTCCCTTTCTGAAGCACAGTATGGCTTGAAAGTTGGGGTTCTTATCTTTTCATCTCTGAAGGATTGTGTGCTTTTTATCAAGAGATCAGGAAGATTTAATAATGAAAACAGCTGGGAATGTCCTGGTGGGACTGTAGAGCAGAGTAATGAGTCTATTATATATATTACTGTTTATAAGTGTCATGAGAAGACCCAACTTTATATTTCTGTATTTCTTGATGTCATGCAGGATATATAGATAGAAAGAAACCGGAAAGTACATATGTTTATATTTATTGTGAACGTGTATGACAACAAGCAGCCTGAGCAACAGTTGAGAATGGTAATACTCAATCCTGCCGAGCACCAACAATTCCAGTGGGCGATGCTAATGGAGATAGAAAGAATGGGCGAGGCTCTGTTTCTTCCTAAAAAGCTGAAAGGCATCATACTGGATGCTTTTGAATTTCTGGGTACTCCAGGCTGTTAAGAGGGCGATCAAGTGCTATGTAGGGGCGTGGTCTTCTTTTTTCTCTATTTAATGCAAAGGACTTTTTTACTTCCACCTTATTTGAAGTTACAAAATAGGGATTCAATGGATCTGTGCCAAATGGAGGTGAGTACTCGAGGCAAGGCCGAAAGTTTGTAGATATAATCATGTTGGCTTAAGTCATCCAGTTAGTGTTCTGGACTCCCTGTGTGACAAAGGTGTAGTATTCAGTTAATAGACAGTGCTATTACCAATTCCGTCCTGTTGAATCCAACTTGCCAATAACCGTCAAATTGATTGCATAGACTGGCCAGATACAGCGGTCTTCATTAGAAGACATAGCGACCTGCCTAGATACGGATAGGATCGTCCTTCTGACTGGTGGGGTGAGAATGACTGGCTTATCTTATGATTTATGGTTGTCTGTGCTTGGATATGCAACTATGTTTTACGGCTTTAGTAGTTGGATGGATACAGTCCGTCTCGAAATCGCTCTGACCTTGAAACAAGAGAGAATTGTCTTCCGGACCCGCTGCCAAGCACTTAGTGAGTATGCTATAGTGAGCCGCCCGGCCACACTTTTCCTAGCGTATCAATTTATGCATCAACTTATCCGGCTTATTAATCTTCTTAAGCCGACATCCGCTTCTCATTCGTCAACTCTCGAGACAAAGAATGAGATCTACTAGTTACGTATGTACATAATATGATGCAACTATGTACAAAGTCAGCCGTGCATAACCGCGGAAGATCTCTGTAGAAGACCATGGAACCATTTTCGCAGAGCCAGGTAAGTCCTGTTCATGGTCTCTCCATAGATGCCATGTGTCGTTAACTTCCCCTTTCTGTCATCCACGTATCTGTGCTTGCAGCTGATATGGCGGTTGATAGACGCACAGTACGTTTCATATTGTCTGATGAGACAGAAGAGGACATTTGCGTGCCCAAATTTTGGTTTGTCGCCCGCACCTCTGACACGGGGATCAAGAGGACATTCTCGTTCATTAGCAATCTAATCGAGTGCTGAACCAACAGAACAACATGCAGGGGGTTACGAACGCGAGTCGTCCGATACATAGCGAGCAGTCGTGAAAGTAAACAGAACTATCATGATAGGAAGACAATTCTCTCTTGTTTGAAGGTCAGAGCGATTTCGAGACGGACTGTACCCAGAATAGAGGAATTCTTAGTGAAATACTATGATCCAGAGGATCTCGCTAGAGCCGATGTGAACGACATTTTTCCATATTTTCGGAACCTTGGCCTGACGCGAAGAGCATGGTGGCTGATCGACATGGCTCGCACCTGGTGCGCCGACCCTCCACAGCCTAGCCGCATACACCAAAAATCCGCAATGGCCGGATCCAATGTTCGTCTGAAATAGCGCATCTCAAAGGGGTGGGTCCCTACGCAAATGACGCATAGAGAACATTTTGCAAGGACCATTTATATGGTAGAGTGAATCCGGCGGAAGCTGAGTGGAAGCGTGTAACACCAAGTGACAAGCAACTTGCCGCCTATCTTAAGTGGAGACGGGAAGAAGAGAGCAAGCGCAATGATGTTCAAACTCCAGAAGAGGATATATTCGTCGGCCAACTTACAACAGAAATAGACTCCCTCACTATGTAGAGGATTCGTCCTTTCCCTAGCGGGTGACCTACTGACCGTCGTATTTTTCGTCCCGCAATCTGATTTACTCCCCTAATATCATGGTCAGAGGCTTATGTGATGTCGAATATTAGAACCAGCGAGGGTCAGTTTTATCAAATGGTGCGTCCTACGCCGGTAGTTCTACTTCCCAATAAAATCCTACCAGCCTTGCTGACCCTCATGCTGGTAAGGTGGCCCCAGACACCGCAGTCACTGGTACACGTCTTGCCAGACAGGGTTAGGGTTGGCTGGAGCAGCCTTCGGTATCAATCTGATTATCTAAGTCGCGAAGCATTTTGTTTGTTACGGAGGAGAGGACGTTCGTCTCTTGTCAATCTTTCTCGGCTAAGGATTGGGGTGTCTTCAAATGAGCTGTCAATCACATTTCGGTTAGGTTCAGTCATAAAATGGCACACCAAAGACATTATCATCATTTTTGACTTAGATACCAAGCTCTGACTGCAGATAACCATTCAACCGCTTGGGAATAGGGTTAGTAATCAAACCGCGATTGTTATCGAGCATTTTGTGGATATAGTCTTCTGAAGAAAAGTTTCTATTAGTTCGCATACTTCTCCGGATCAGGGAAATAGAGCTATATAGTACTATTTAAAAGAATCTTTCTTTTAAAGCCCATGTTGTGGAGGCATGTTTCCAAGTACCTAGCTGCTTCTTGGAGCATGCTATAGCCTCCAATACAAGCTCCGGCCTCAAGGTGTTGCGCAAGCCCACTAAGCGTGCTAAAGGACTGCTTTAATGCAGGTTCCCTGCTCAGCAAGGCTGTTGGACAACTGAATATCGCACTTGTATGGGCGGCAGATTGTCGGTGTTGCATAAGGGATTGCACGGATTTGAATGTTCTCGAGCAGTCAAGACACGATTTCCTTCCAGAGTCCACAGTTTTAAGATCGAATACGTGCGCTCCGGGTGGGCTGGGTTCCGCCAGGTAAAGCGAGCTAACAGATGCTGCGCTGCTTGGGGTATAGATAACCTGAAACCGAGTGCTATAATCCGAGGATACACTGAGAGTTTCGTCCAAAGCGTAAATTCGACTCGGCTGGGCCTGGCCGGAGATCACATGGTTGGTATCGTGCAGACGGATTATGTCATTGAGTTTCTCTCTATTCATGCTAGAACGGCAAGTGCCGCTTTCAAGATGATGTAAAAGAGCTGAAGGGCTTTTGAACCTCTTTTGGCACTTTGAAACTATGCACTCCAGGTTGCTGAGAGGACGATGGACCAGCGATCTTTGGTGTTGCATCAATGCGGCTTTGCTTGAAAATCCCCGGTCACATTTGTCACACAAAAGCCCTTTTCGGGTCTTTCGGACAGGCGTATGGATCTTGTCCCGAAGATGTTGCTCTTGACTCAGAGACTTGGCCAAGTGTTCTCACTCAATTTATTAACCGCTTTCCACATCTTAAGAAGTTGGAGCTCGCATTTGCAGCTCGAGTGGAGTCGAAAATATTTCAGAAAATTAGTCAAGAACTCTCTCTACCATGTCTTCAGATCCTAAATCTGTCTGTAATTGACTGCATAGAGGATGACCTAACCTGGTTATTTCAAAACCACCGAGAAACGCTGCAGGATATATTCCTGGATGCAGTCAACATCATTCAGAATGGGGGCACTTGGAACTCCCTGCTTGCCACTACTCGAAGTCAGACGCAGCTCCGACAGTTATCCATTGAGAACTGTTGTCAGGACGAGGAGGATATCATTGTTCAGGGAACTGAGATGATTCCGTCGTCGATCAGCTCTCAGTCCCGCCGGTCGCTGTAGAACGTTGGGTTCCATTACAGTAATTCAGGTCGGCAGCTAAGCCGAATTCAAGGAGGAACGCAATTAGAATATTGACCTCGCGTACAGTAATGTCCCTATTTTATCACGAGAGCTCGTTTAGGATCGGGGTTTAGGACAAACCCAATTTCCGCAGGAGAGAAGCTTTTTCAACGTTCGTGTTGCTACGCGTGATTTATAAAAATGATTCACCTCTTTCTCGCTTCTCATAGTAGTAAAACATTACACATTTTCGTTTATCTTTCTTGCAACTGAGTTTACAGAACCAGAAGATCATGGAAACACTGAATATAAGCATTATATAGCTCATCCTTGGTTAAGAATAGCTGCTTCGTCCGCACACCGTGAAACCGTCTGAGATTGTGGTTCTGGCCTTCACCCAGCACGAAATCTGTAAATGTTCTGCTCCTGACCGTCGAGAGGATCCTGGTAAATAGCTTGATAGTGGTCGAACTTGAACCCCTTTAGAGTTGATCCTACTTCTTCCAGAAGGTCAACTCCATATGTAGGATATTCTCGCGCTTCCCGAGCAAATCTGTGGTTTTCACAGCGGAGATATCCTTCCACCGTTGCTGCCGCTAGAATGCGACGGACTGCGTGCCATTGAGGTAAGAACGTTGCTGAGATAACATGCTGAGACGTGAGGCAATAAGTATTAATATTGATTCCACCTTCGGTGGACTCGGGATTTGGGTTGGCAAGTAAAAGCTTCTTCAACTGCCGCGCAACTTGGGCTTCCATTTCCGTCACAACGCACATGTCCGCAAAACGTGCAAGTTCTATCATAGCCGAGATCTGGAGTACTGGTTCCATTATTTTGAATTTGATCCTGCGGAGGTATAGCCATTGCAAGAAGGCCTCAAGGCTTTGAACTGATACAATCCCTTCTATGTCCTCCAGAATTGCTGTCTGCTGTTGCCCCTCCTTAAATTCGCCCTTGAACATTGCTGAGAAATATTTAGATTCTCTGCAGAGAAGATCTTTCGAAACGGTATATTCATGGTCACAAGAATTGATCCGAATTGTGACGCAAGGACCATGATAGATCGGAAGGATGCTAGAAACCTGACGCTTAGCTTTTATACAAAATTATTAGCTTGCTACAATACATACGATCTCGCGAAGTCCGTGGCACTTGCGCCAGATATATCAGTCATTGCTTTGATATGCGATCGGTGGATCCTTTCAAAAGATAGAGTGGAGTCGGAACAGCGGGGTCAAGCACGTCCCTGATGATCGTCCTTCTGCACGTGATCTTGATCGTTTGTCAAGACTCGCCAAGACCGCTGGTTCGGGAGGGCGAGTAGGATGACTTGGGCTTGAACTCCCGCCCAAGATCCATATAATGTCTGCGGTCGACCGACAGATCACTAAAGCAAACGTGTTCGCGAATTTAGGCATATATGGGAAGCGATACAGGATCGGCGGGCAACCCTCATTGCTTGGAGCATTCCCCAACGCTGGCTCGGACCATGGAATCTGTCTCATGAAAAGAAAACGATTGAATATAGTAGCACATAATCACAGTCTGTCTGCGCTAACGGCCACAACCCGTCAAAACTGCCTTTTTAAAAAAAATAGTGAAATCATAAACATGCTTGTTTTAGCTGCATTTGCCTAGTCAATCTTGAAGATTCGCCGTCCTACAAGAAGAAATATGTGACCGGGGTCTTAAGCACCTTGACGCCTGTGACGCATCTCTCGTTTTTGTCCACGTAGAGATGTATAATTCGTGTGCCGTTCCCAAACCAGCTCGTGATCATGTTTATCGAAGCGACGAAGGTCTGCACATTCGCCCGGGCCCGGACATGACCATGCCCACAACCTCATTCATCTGTCCGTTGGTAATAGTGTCTGAGGCCGCCTTCATTATGATGAACTCGTGTTCGTCGATGATCATAAAACGCTCACAAGCCCGGCATGTGGTCTCGATGATCCAGTTCTCCATGATTCCGCCGCAGGTGTCATCAACCACCCTGTTGCCGATCTTCCGCATGTCCTCGAGCACGACCACGCGGAAGCACGACTCGCAGTAGATGAAAATATTGAGCTGCTGCTCCTTTCTTTAATTTATGATTGCCATTATGCCGAGGGTACGAAATTGCGCTCGTAGATGTGATTGAATGTTCCTAATCTCTGGAGGAGTCAGACAGTGGCCACCGGGATGTCCAGTCACACGATACTAGCCACGGTGACTGGCAACTTTGAAAATAAATTAACTAACCTGATTCTATACCGGTATTTAGTAAAGAGTATGAATAATCCAACTTGGCTTCTAGCGAGCCTTGAAACGCAGGGACTCTCAGCAGTGACCGGCTGTGAGTCGCTCACCTTCCGCGGGTTGTGTTCGCAAAAGGAGGTTCTTTCGTGACCGTTCGTTGGAGTATAAATGTCAATTTCAATGCTTTCATTTAACAAAAGGAAATATTCATTTCGAAGGAGACTCTTCTGGGGGGCATGTTGTGTCAAGAAAAATACATTAAGAGGGAGTGTTGCCCTGCTCAAGAATGGGCGTTGGGCATCATAGCAGCGGTAGCGGTATCCAATCGAGGTGAAACTTGAGCAGGAGCCAATTATATCGCGGTTACACAAGGCGGGGTAAGGGAATGGGATAGAACTCAGGAGTATTTGGACTCAAGTTTCCAGCTACTATCTACAGGATATCTTTGCTTCCATGTCCTTACAAGGACATCATTGATTCAATGTCTAACGACATCAAAATTGTTTGTGCCGAGAACATTGCTATATCCCACCTACTTCGCAACGTAGCAGCACCACCATCGAGTAACCGCACTCATTGTCCACCCGCCCTCAGAAGACGCTCTACATTATCTTTTGACACCGAGCGTAAACTAGCCGGTGCGCTAGCATTCATTGCACATATCAAAGATGACGCTGAAAATATTCCTGCTTTAGGCCTAGAGGAGGATCCCGAATCAGGTAGCTTGAACGTCATATTCGCCGTAAATAAAGCGAGTCATAATGATGGAGAAGATGCGATTTGCGGTATTAAGCAGGGCTTCGAACGCATATTTGCAATTCTCACCACTGTATCCGGTAAGTGACAAGGTCATGCTCTTGAGGAATGCTAACAATACTAGGGTCAACTCGCTATCGAGACATAGAATGCCAAATTCTTACAGCCGTGGTTTCTATGTGCTCATCGCGCATACTGTCTCGGTTGCGCCTGGCTTTTACATCGAGTACGACAGCGAAACGCCCCTTCAAAGGCACCCTTCAAGAGGCCTTGCTAGCTGTGAAGATCGTCAGGCGGAAATTGAATAATGAGGACTTTTCAAAGACCGCGGACAACTTCACCCTAAGGGCGAAGGAAGTCGAGAAACTTCTGGACTCATGGTCTCAATATCAGGTCGATACACGTTTAGTGAAGGTTGTGGAAGGCATTCATCGACTTCAGCAAACTGTGGGACTCCCTGACCTAATTGGCATTATCCCAAATCAGGACATGAGCCCCAGTGCAAGGAAAAGTTTGCTCAACATCGTTAACAAGGTCGGCAGGTACTGGGAAGTCGCTAGGTACCTGTACCGTACGGCAAAGAAATTGCCTTTGGCTCGAGCAATGAGAACAATCGCCGTTCGACTGCCTGAGGAAGCATTTGCTTCTCCTATAATTAAGGATTATTTTCCTGAGTTGCAGTCCAAAATCGCCGAAACCAGTTCAAAGGGCAGTCAACAGAAGCTCCTAAGAGAAATATGCGCAATATTGAAGATTAGCCAACAGCATGCTATCGACAGGTACTCTGGCCAGGTCATACGAACCTTGAGAGAGGCAAAAATCCATGCTGAGATCCAGCTGATTGCCCACTGCGAATTAGAACGCCCGAAGTTATTGCCGCGAGTAATCTGCTCGAGCAAGGATGCCTGCTTTCTTTGCAACTTATGTCTTCAGTTATATCAGAAAATTTACACGCCAAAATCTCACGGACGACTATATCCAAGTTGGCGGATACCTTGTATACCACAACTTGCAGAGCTAGAGCAAAGGTTTTCCCAAACTCTAGGTGACCATTTCAGAGAGACCTGTGTCGCGCTATTATCAACTCGCCAGAAAGTCATCTATCCAGACCCAAATGAGAGTACCTTGTTTACACTTCCACTATCTAAGACAACGGCAAGCGCTTCAACATCCTCCAAGGCAACCAGAGCGGACGCTCGTATCTCGCGGCTACCAGAATCAAGCAAGAGTGTCGGTGTCAGCGATCCACGTACACAGGATACAGCTGATTCAAAAAGGGATACGCCACCGGATAGTCCGTCCCCATCACATGACTGCGCGAAGACAATAGAGGAGTTGAATTATTCCGAAGTGGTCCAAGGATCGAAAATTTTTGGATGTCTGACCCCTGGAGAATCCTCGAATGTTTATATAGCTGACTCCCTGCGCTCGCTGGAAATCCAGATTGAGCATGCCACAGGCTCAAATGATCTTAAGTACTATATGAAGTGGCTGGGCGCTGAAGAAGCTGCGGAGGTTCGAGAAAATGGTTCTTCAACCCAAGTGGTCGACGCGGAGCACCTTGAAGGAATGGTCGCCCTCCACGAGCAGAACTCATTGTACCTTGTTGCGAAGGACGCTATACTGAAGGTTGGTTGGGCGAGTGGAGACAAAAGTCTCCCCGTCTAGCAGGTCACCGCAGGGTTTTGGGATGTCATGCTTATGGAGTTAGCCAGCGATTTTGAACACGCACTCAACTTGTGGAGGCCGTCCGATATTATAAAATCTTCACGATGCTTCAGCTTCTTTCCATAAGGAGGCAGCAGAGCGGCGGAGCGGCAAGATTAATGAACAATACCGAGCATATCACATATCCTCAAGCTTGGCATATCATTTCGCCAATCACCGTACGCTTTCTGTGAACTTGTTTTCCTACTGTACGCGGCGAAAAATAGGAGCGGTGGCTTAGCGTTGTCAGATAGCGGATGGAAGAACATCTTAAAGAGGCTTAATAGCTTGAAACAAGGGTAGGTTTGACGCGGAGTTCGTTCTTGGTGGATGCGTTGCTCGAAATTAAAGCAATAAGAAATTTTGCCACCGTGGGCTGTCGTCGAGCCATTGTCGACCACGTGACAGTATGCTGCATAAATATTGCATAATCACGGTACAGTACAATGAGGCTGAGAATGGTTCAATAAATCACTTCTGCCAAGATCTTGGCGGTGGGGTCAACAAAACAATTCATAAGTGTTTGAAGGTCAGAGCGATTTCGAGACGGACTGTAGCATGGGAAACGAGAAGAACAAGATTGCTGAAAAGTTGGCAGGAAAATGGGTCCGGGGAAGAAGATGGCAGGAAGACGGCGCCCGTGCGGGACGATGGCAGGAACATGACAGGGATGACAGGAAGATGGGAGGAAGACGGAGCCCGTGCAGGACTATGGCAGGAACATGACAGACTGTCATGCTTTTTTTGTCAGTTTGTTTGCTAGACCAAAAAATGTCATATGGAATATCACCGGATTCTCACATAATGGAGATTCCCTCACTTTTCTCTTTCCTATCTCAGAAGAACATGTGCTTGGAAATTATTTCGACAACAAGGTTAAGGAGCGGATGAGGGAAGATATCATACTGCCGGAATACAGTAGGAGATTGGAGCACTCCTGATTACAAATCAAATCTCACGTGACACAGCTGATAAGGCATCCAGGAATTCCGCCATCTTCCTGCCATATCTTCCTGCCATATCTTCCACATACTCATCTTTTGTCTTTGCCTAGGATGGCATCTTTGTCAAAGAAGCGCTGCCCTTGCAAGCCGCTTACCTATAAAGATACGTGGAGAAAAATTAAAGATATTGGTTTTACTATTATTAAGATAAAATCCTTATAGAATGGAAAAGATGAGCGTGTTGTTGTGCTTACTGTAAAGTTATTATATAAAGAACCAGATTTTAAGAATAAGCAAAGATTCCATGAATTCTTAGTTGTTGTGTGTGATTAATATAGCTAGTATAATATTATCATCTTACTTATAGTTAATATTGTAATTGGTAAGGATAAAATAATTAATATAAATAATTTCTACCACGGTGTGCTTCTTAATAGATTAGAATTTAAATAGAATAAACCAGTTTTGAATTCTTTTATCTTGAGAGAAATTGCCAAGACTTGTAATATATTGATTATTAAAAAGAATAAGAACTAGTTAACTTTATCTATATATAACAGCTATTTGGATTCTCATGGTATAATATATAAATATACTATCTTAGAAGAAATTATTATAGTTTTTAGTAAAGACTTATATAAGATTATCTCTCAAGTACTGATTTAAGTTAAAGAAAAAACTAGTTGGAGGGTTACTATGATTACAGCCTTTCTACTTTATAATAATATTAACTGTCTGATAAGTCTAGATATATATTTATCAGGAATTAATTATCTTATTCTGGAATTATTCAATACTAAAATTAATATAATTAAGTCTCTTTAATATATTGTTATTAATAATGGATCTATACTAATTATGCTGATTTTTAAATTAATTATTATAGATATTAAGAAGAAGGCTATTACTAAGATTTTTGGTATTAAGATATATAAAGTAATTAGAAATAGTTTTGTATGTAAAATAGAACTTAAGTAAAGAAAAAAACTTATAAAATATATTTTAATAATTATAATAGAATAAAAAGCAATTGTGAATTTATTTCTAGATCTAGATTATAATATTAAATTTAGCTGTAAGCTATATATTTAATATTTTAAAACTCTTTCTTGATTTTGTCCAGAGTAATATATAGCTTTATACTATTTTTTATTATTATTTAGCTATTAAATATATCTTTAAGAGGTATAATCTATTCTTTTTTTTATTATTAATCTTATAGAGAGTGACATTATATTCTTTCCAGAAAATTATTTAGTTCTTGTCAGTGATTATTATAATATAATTATTAAAAATATTACTGAAGTCCATGGAGTTATTAAGAGAAAATATTTTTAAAGCCTGATATAATATTAAATATAATATAAGCTTTGTAGAGATAGTTTATTATAAAAAATCTTTAATATAAAGTATTTAATAAAAAAATATAAATTATCTTTAATCTTAAGCATGTTCTGTACCTTCCTTTATTTAGTAATAGAATAATACTTATAATAATCTGATTTATAGTATTATAAAGTTATATAACCAAGAGCTTTATTATATAGTATGGATATAGTTGTATTGAGTTATAGTTATCTTATAATAAATATTAAGTTTAAACCATTTATAAAAAGGAAAATATATGTTATAATATATTATATAATATTTATATTACTGAAGATACCTGTTATCCTATTTTAGATACTAATAATAAGAAGTGTAATATATATATTATATAAATATTAATATAATATATTAGAAAATTAGAAAACTGATATTATAGCAGAAAATTATGGGCTGGTTATAATTATTATTTTATTTTTAAAATAAATATATATTAGTAGAGTTGTTCTGTATTATATTATACAGATAAATTTATAATTTAGAAAGTATTATTATAATACCAGTAAGATTATTTTTATACTAGCCTCTGCTCATGCCACATATTTTTATCTACTTTAATAGATATAATTCACTTTTTATAAGATAAGATCTACTTTTTAGAGTTAGTGTAATCTTACTGCTTTTTTAATATAGAATTATTTTTTATTTAAGATACTAGTGTACTATCTAAGATAATAAACTATTATTTTAAAATAAATAGATAGTATTATTATACTGGCTCAGAAAAGTAAGCCTTACTTTATAAAAAGTAAGTCTTATCTACTAAGATAAGCAGAAGAATATAATATAAGTAAAGACTGGTGTAGAGACAGCCTGGCCGGTATTATAATAATATTTTTCTATAATTTAATTAAGTAATACAGGATAATATACATTTTCTCTCCTTGAAGAGTACTATATTATTAAGTAGAAATAGGAGTGGAAGTAGACTAATTTTATTATTAAAGAAGATATATAATAAATTTTTTACTTGGCTGTAAGTTAATTATATAATTATTATAAATACTAGTTAATGGTAATATACAGCTTATCTAATAAGATAACTTGATTATAGAATAACTATATAATTAATAATTATAATCTCTCTTAAATCTTCTGCACCTGTTCTATCCTCTTTATAATCTATAAATATATTTAATATTTCTATGATATATTAATTTATAATTAATTTTTATTTAAAATATTATTTATTTTCTGTCTGGTTAATATTATAGTCTCTCTTATATTTTCTGTATTATTATCTAATCCTGTCTTATTCTCTTTATAATTAGTAGATGTATTTAATATTTATATAATATAATAATTTATAGTAAGCCTTTATTTAAAGTATTATCTGTAGTTTTCTAGAAAAAAATATATTATAATTACTTTTTTTACTTTATCTGCAGAATTAAGATTGAGGGAGAAAACCTGATTATTAAATTTCTTAAAGTTTTTATATTACTTTTACCTGATAATTATCTTCTATTTTCTATCTTTTTTATACATATATTGTTTATCTTTGGCGTTTTAGTATGAAGTAACTAAATAAAGATAATATTTATTATTATTATAGTAGATAATAATAAGATATAAATTAGTTATCAAGCTGGAATTAGTAAGTACTTTATTATTAAGAATTAAATATTTTTTTCCTGACTTAAGAAAGTTATTCCAGTATTTTTTTTTATCTATTTTTATATACTATCTACTTTTCTAATATTAATGAATCTGCCCTGCACATGATTAGCAGGGTTAATAATATAGTAATTAATAAATAATATAAGTTTATTAGTTATTAACTTTCTTTTTTATAATAGCTTAGTTAATTCTGTTTCTGTCTGTAATAAAAAATAAGTTATTAATATATAAAGAAAGTTCATGATAGATAGCTGGATTATAATATAAAATTAAATTTTTTTTAATACTATAATAAAGCAGAGATAAATACATATAATAATATTTATATAGAATACCAAGAATTTATAAAATTTCTGGGCTAATTATTTAGATTATTAAGTAATTTCTCTAGATAAATAAAGATATATATCTTCCGGGCTGGTTTTGAAAGTATGAAATAAATAAAAGTAACAGTTTCTTTATATTATCCAGCGGTTTGTCTGATCTTAAACTTATTAATATATTTTATTTTAGTGGTTAAAGTAATTTTACTTGGATATTTAAATATTTTACTCTAAGTAAATACTTACGGAAAAGCGTTTTACTAAGCGGAATTGATATATAAGTTATACTGATATTTTACTTATAAAGTCTTTAATAATAGCGGAAAACAGTATCTATATTATAAGATAGATAAAGAACTGGTAAATTTCTTATATATAAAAATATACTGGAATTTTAGCTGAGATAGTATATTTATAATAATAACTATTTAATTAACCAGAAATATATGGTATTTCTGCTTAAGAAATATAGAGATATTAAACAGATTTATTATAAATTAATAAATACAGTAGTAACCAGGAGTCTATATTTTTATAATATTTTAAATTATATTATAAATATCTGTTATTATTAATAAAATATTAACGCAGTAGATTGATCTAATAACGACAAAGGTAGCCTATATCCACGAGGTAGACTGATCCTTGAGGGATCAGTAGCTCCTTCCAAAGGAATCGGCACCTTATAGGTGTCGGGGAGGTGTAGAACCTCTACCGATGACCTCATGACTCTCATAACCACTGTAATACGTCATTCCGATGCCCAAGGCCCCGATAGCTAGGTTATTCTATCACAAATGGCGCCCTCCTTCGCTGGGGCGAGCCACCTGGCTCGGGTGTTGGGGATAACCTCATGTGTTCCCGATTCGGAACGGTGTGGATCCGATGGCGGGAGGCGGGGGGTCCGCGGGGAACGCCGCGGAGATAAGGTCACGTGCCGTTTCTGTATAGCTTCGAGAGTGTTTAGTTGTGTTTGCATGGGTGGATCAGTAGAGGAGAAGTGTAAACAAAAGATCTTTTCGTGTTACTCCTCTTCCTCCTCTTCTTCTATCCCGGGGTCGTCGTTTCTTTGGTGGTTCGCCATCGTTTCGTTCGTTCTTTGCGGCTTTTCCATCGATTCTTCATCGTTTCCATCATCATACATCAATCGTTTGGCGATCAAGTGCCGTTTTGCGTTCGTTTCTTGCTTTGTTCGCCTCTGAATCGCGTGTTTTGCGTCGGGTCTTTCGATATGGCCGACAGAGCACGCCGTCGCCGCCGCAGAGCTGCGGCTAACCGGTCGCGTGCCGTTCGCGCCACGGTGATTAAACCACGTTGGCTATGGTGCATGTGTTGCCTTCGTACTTCGGTGAAGAACTTCAAACCGGGTGAAATGGAAGTGCAGGAAGTCTTCGAGATTAACTGTGTTCTCGATGGGGAAGAGTCTATCCTGTGTCGCCAGTGTTGCGGCCGGCGCGGCGGCTGCGAAGCGGTATGGATTCGTGAACTCCCTTTGATATTCCTGGGCTAATGTGACTAGACTCCTGCGGGAGCCTTAGGAAACGCCGCCGAGCTGGTTGAGCTTCTGGACTGGTACCGTGCTTGCTTCTTTCATAACGCGGAGGACGAGGAGGAGAATGCCTTTGTGAATTTCAACGAAGATGCTATTCGTGCTGCCAACAACTGCGTCGTGCATCTTGGCCGGGCCTTTGTCCAGATGGTGGCGACTCACAACCGCTACCATGGTCTTTCGGTCGCCCAGAAGTCGGTATGTAAGGGATGGCTCGATCATCGATCGTTATGCTAACGTTTTGCTAGCGTCGCACTGCCAATTATGAAGCGTTTCTGGCTAGACGTCGCAAGATTGTGGGAGTTGATATCGAAAAACTGTGCCTCATGCCCGGTGATCCCGGCTTCGTCTTGTGGACTTCGGCGAAGCAATCGTTTCACGACGGCATTTCGGCCGCGGTTGGCCTGCAATTCGACGGCGATAGACTGGATGAGATCCTTGAGTGGATGTTCGAAGAGTTTCCAGTGGCTTTGGGGGAGTTGTGAAGGTGGCCCGCCTCCGAATCGTGGCTGAATTGGTGCCGAATAGCAGTGAGTTGTGATCATTGATATGCATGGGCGCGGCCTGTCGCCTTATAACAGTGCTTCAAGATGTATTTATTAGCATATTAGTGAAATATCATCCGACTGGTTCATCATCAATGGCTGAGCATGGTTCTGTAGGCTATCTGGTGGCGTTTCGCTGGGTTTTCTTTGGTCGTCGTAGCTTCTGATGTATCTTCTGATATTCTCTAATGCTTCCTTGTGCGTTCGCCATGTTTTCGCTAGGAATCCACTGGTTATATTCGCTCGGCCATCCTTTCCATTTGATCAGGTAGTAGTCTTGGCCGTCATACTGTTGGTAGTCTTTGACTTCTTCAACTTCCCATTCATCCTCATCGTCTAAGTCAGGCATCGGGAGCGGTTCTTCATGCCCTTGACCAGTATTCCACGGTTCCAGTAGAGAAACATGGAATACATTATGGATTCGTCCATATTTCTCAGGCAAACACAAGCGATACGCTTGGGATCCGATGCGTTTAAGGATCCGAAAAGGTCCTATGAACTTTGGGGCCAACTTTCTCGACTCTTTGAGTCGTAAGTTCTGGGTCGATAGCTTAACTAGATCCCTTTCTTTGAATGAGAATGGCCTTCTATGTTTATCGTAGTGTTCCTTTTGCCTTTCTATAGCCATTCGCCATGTCTTCTGCAACTGTTCCCTTGTTTCTTTAAGTCTTTCGATCCTATCCTGTACGGCTGGTACCTCTCGCCGTTGAGGATCGTCCTCGATCCTGATATGAAAGTCCGGGGAGTAGCCATATAAGACATGATGAGGAGATATGCCCGTGGTTGCATTATTCGCATTATTGGAAGCGAATTGGGCAGTTGGCAACATTGCTGGCCAGTTGGAATCGAACTGGCTAGAGTAGCATCGTTATTAAAATATCTCCCTTCTACCGCGTTCCTAGACTTTAAAATTATTTATTATATATCAGCTGCTTCTCCTACAAATTCATAAATTTTTGGCTCTTTTCTATCATCTACCAGGGTTTTTAGAAAAGATCTCTACACTGGAATAATAAATTAGTATTTATTTATTAATTTTATTAATATAAGATTACTTTTATTTTCTCTTAAATTCAGCTATTCAAATTCTAGCTAAATAAAGTCTGTTTTAGATAGATATACTATTTTATAAATTAATCTTTTATAATAGACAAGTTACCTTGAAGAATTAAATTCATTATTATAAAAATTATAAGATCTGGTTTTAATAATCTGCTGCAGATACTGATGGGCATGTAAAATATAAGAATTTAGGATAAATATTTTTAAATATAATTAGCTGCAGATAATACAAGTAAGTTTTGTACTAGCTGATATTAAAACTCCTGGTATATAATAAATTTTAATTATATATTTAATCTGGTTAAGAAGAACTATAAGCTGGAGAAAAATATTTAATTTCAGATTTTTATATTACTCTGTAAATTTAACCTGAATATAGTTTAGATAATATAGTAATACTTTTATAAATAAAAGAGGAAATTGAGTTTATTTAACTATTTTTAAGAAAAAGTAAACAGCTTAATAAAAACAGAAAAAGAATCAGACTTTTTTAATATAAATTAAAAAGGAGAATACCTTGACAGTCTTTATTTTAATCAGATACTGGATATACTGTAATACAGGAAAGATAATATATTATAAATAATTTCTTATCTGATAAAATAGAAAGATATAACCTATTTAAATATTTAATTATATTTATTAATAAAATACAGCTACTGCTGAGGTTGGTGTTTTTCTAGTTTAAATCAAGATTTAGATTTTTAAATCTGCAGTCTTACTGTATTTTTCTGTAATTTCTGTTTTTTTGCTGTGTTGTTCTTTATAGATCTTTTTATAATTCTTTTACTACTTATTATAGTACTAGTATCAAGTATTCTATATAAATATACTATAATTTCTGCTAGAATACTTATCTACTATTTCAGTTTAAATCTTCTACTGGATTTCTTTGTACTATAATCTTTTTATTATTTTATAAATAATCTTTGTTGAGTATTATTATAACTACTTATAATATAAAAATTAAATCTGTTTTATTTATAGATAAAAAACTATCTAGCCAGCTACCACAATTTTATTCACAGTTAATTAGATTCTGTTTTAAATTATCTGGTATAAATATATCCAAGATACCAGAAGTACTGGACTCTATTTATTAGAACTAGTGACTGTGTTTATTAAGGGATTCTAATACTAATATAATTATGCTGTAACTGATTAATAAGAGTAAAAAATACTTTTTTCTTGTTTAATTTATGGACTGGATATAAGAAATAAGAAATTATTTATTATTTATTATCAAGATACTTGAGTTTAAATATAATAGATTAAATATAATTTTATATTATTATCTCAGAAAATATTTAAATAAGTTTAAGAAATATCTAGATTTGATAAATATATTACCCTTCCATTTTCTGTTTATTTACTGTATATTCTAATATTTCAAAGACTTTAAAAAAATTTACTGCAGATCTTTTTCTGTTCTAGGTAGTATATTATATATATAAATATATTTATAATCAGTGATATATAGAATATAATATTAATATTTAATTTATTATAGATCTGATAAAAGCAGTTCTCTTAAAAGATAATCTAATTATTCTTATCTATTATTAATTTAAAGCTCTGGTTATATATTTCTGAAATTTTTATTAAAATCTAGAAATTATCTGGTCATAAGATTTTAATACTTAAATTATATTTTTTAATAAACTTTACTATATAGAGCTGGAGAAACTGGAGGTACTAGTAGTAGAGCTTATAATAATAACTCTTTTTCTTTTTCAGGAGCTTACTGTAGAAATAATAAAAAAAACAGTAATAACTTTTTAATAACTTTGAATAGGTGGTAGAATAGTATTTATTAAATAGCAGAGAAATACTCAGCTACTAAACTAGCTTTGTATTTAAAATTAGATTGATTAATATTAATAATTATTTTTTTTTCTTATCTTAGTTTATACTAAACTAACTGCAGGAACTTTATTATTTATATAATTTTTACTTGTTTACTAGACTCCTTCAGGGCATATATTTAAGCGGAAGGTATCCAGAAATATTATAAATACTTAGTTATTTAATAGATTTAAAAAAAAATTATTAGCTGTATAAGTAGAATATTAATTTAGATACTATATTTTATTTTCTTTTACTTTTTATGAAGCTTTAGTCTTAAGAATCTATAATTATATTATAAATTATATCTGCTGCTCAGAAATATGCTTTATAAAATATATTAAATAAAGTTTTATAATATTTTCTCTTATTCTTGATTTCTCTATATTTCTGTATCTAGTTTAATCTTTTTTTATTATCTCTGATAATGTTTTACTAGATCTTCTGATACTTTTCACTGAAGTAAGAGCTCTGGTGTATATATAATTTAAAATAAGTAGTATTATTTATATAATATATCTTATTTAATTTTTTATTTTTTATATATCTTCCCTTTCTTCCTCCTCTGAAAGCTACTGTTGGAATAATAAAGTAATAATTTTAGTTGGATTTGGTTAGTATAAGCTAATAGTTATTATCTTACTGTAAGTCTATTAATAACACTTAAATGTGGTAGATATTATAGTATCAGGTATCTAGTCCTGACTTATCTTGAGTATTTTAATTAAATTATAACTAAGATCTCAGTATTGCTGGAGCTTGATAATATTAAATATATTAAAATTACTGGTCTAATCCCTGGAAGCCTTTCTGAATAGTATGATTATATTAGTTAAAAATTCCTGGGAGTAACTGTCAACACAGAAGATCTTAGATAAACTAAAAAGCTTGCAGCTAATTACAGAAGACATCACCTGTATTAAAAACATAATTAATAATATTACTTTTATCTAATCTCAAAGTAAAGCAACAGATGCTTGTCTTTTAAATGGTACCTGGGAAGAGACTAAAAAACTTCTAATAATAATAAAAAGCTAAGAAACTGAGCTACAAGGCACAGAGTGCCAATAGTAGTCGCCGAACTAAAGATGTGGGCTAGTATATCGGGGACGCTGATAAGCCTGGTGAACATAAAGTTCTGGCACATGAAATCATGTGATATGGTCAATGAATAAGTCACTTGAGAACCAATGGAGAGATATTGGAGAGCTTCTTCAGCCAGCTTTAAATTTTATTACTAAAGTAAATTCATGCTTTTCTTAAGATTTGAGGTCATGAATAAAGAAACAGTCAACGGTTTCTGGCTAATCTCGTCCCGCTACTTATACATACAAACCGAAGTCCATTGCATTGACTTACGAAAACCTGATAGTAACAGCTGCGAAGTGCTGAACCAGAACCACTCATCAGATGATTACTTGTCGAAGAACGCAGGTTGGAAGGACTTGGTACGCTGCGGGCTTCTTGATCTGCTTTCTTCGGGTGAGCCTGAACAGCTTGGATTCCAAGTGGAATGGTATAGACACAGTTATTAGGTATAATAGGAGGAACCAGGTGAAATAGGAGGAGTCATCACCAGTGATACTAAGTAAATTGATTTTTTTTAACGCTTCCATCAATTCTCCACATATATGCTACAAAACCAACTGTGCTAGCGGGAAGATGCTATCTGTATCTCCCAAGAAGCTCGGAAGAGCGATATAGCTATGAAAGCATTACCACTTTATATGTACTCGTTCCATCCACCGTTTTGGTCCTAGGCACGCAAGGGTCATAGACAACTTGTTACTCATGTCAGCGCTCTATCGTGTGAGGCTCCTGGCGAAAGAGAGGCAAAGTTCATCGATATAACCTACGGTGTAGGTTAGATTTATGGCATTACATATTCTTGCTAATACGCTATAGGATGCGATTGTATGGATGTTTTCGGGAAACTCTGATACTATTTTATGTCTTCTAATAGTGCTAATCACAGAGAGTAAGGACTAGTACAATATTCATTCTACCTCTTTATATTATGATCTTGATTGTATACTGTGTATTCCAGTATAGAGTTGGTTGTAAAGCTCTTGTGTAACCACAAGGCGCCTGTCATCCGACTTGCTCTGGCATTGGTCGTTAGAATACCGATGATGAAGAGGAATACCAATAGATACAGAGACATTAAGACATCCGTCGCGTAGAAAGCGGCATCAAGAAAGAAAGCTGCAGGAAACACAGCACCAAAGAGTCGCAGCATCTTCATTTGGATACCCTACACTATGTATTCATGTAAAGTAATAGGAGCTTTCGGGCCCCGAGCAGCACAGAGTGACATAGAATCCGGTGAGATGATCTCGTCCTTGGTGCATAGCGGGCAGAGAGACACTTTCCACAAAATGCCACGACGGTCCATACTGCCGACTGGCTAGGTACTCGCAGGCCAATTCTGGTCTTCGCGGGTTATGTTATAAATTGTATTCCCTGATACATATATGTAGTACAACTGGTGATGATATATAACAGTATACTAATAGTAATAAGCCTGGGAAAAATGAAAGTCTGTGGAGAGTATTTTAAATTAGAATTAGAGTATCCTTAATCTGATGCCCTGCATCATGTAGTTATTGATAAAGTAATATAATCTTCCTGGTTCCGGGTAATTTAGTAGGATATAGAAATCTTTAAGATAATTATGATTCTTAGGGTCTGTATACTGCCCGGGAAGTATTTCTATATAATAAGAATAAAATGGTTTGTATTGTCAGCTTATTAGATATTTATATACTAATACCTGTCTTCTTCTAGCTTGCCTGAGAATAGAGTTATGGAAGAAATTATTAAAGTAATTATAGCAGTAGATATAGTTATAGTCTAGTACCAGATTTATTATCTTATAATAATATATCTTGTACTCATAGTATGTTTTTAAAGACTGGCCTATATTTTTTTTTAGTAATATATTACTTTGAGAGTATTTCTATTTCTTGCTGTCTGGTATAAGCTCAGTCTGGACTAGACTTACTGGTAAAAAAGTAATGAGCTCAGTTATATTACTTATTACTGCGGAAACTGTATTAAGATTAATTAGGTTTTCTAGTTTATTATTAATTTATTTTCTCCGGTAGAGTTTGTACTGTAATATACTAATACTGTTACCAGGGCATTGTAAATCATAAGAAATAATACTATTATTATTTTCCGTGTTTCTGAGAGCATCAATGTCGATCAGGTTGTCTGAGGAACTTTAGATTACTTGCTGATTTGACTGCAGAGCTGCTGCTTACCAAAACTTGATCCAGGAAGTGGATATGGCAAAGTCGGCAACCCTCCAATAGCTTCAGAGATTTGACTATGGTGGAGGAACCGAGTCTGAACTTCCTTAGAAACAGAACTTGTAACAGCAGAAGGCCCAGATAGTGATATCTCTTGATGATATTAGCGTAGGAGCGCTGACAGGTTCTTGGGCCTGAGAAGTATATACTAAAATAAAGTATAGACTAGCCCGTAACCTAGGACTTTGAAGGGATATTTATACTTACTAACTCTTTTATTCCGTGCGAGGCTGAGCTAGTATTTATGTTGATATTATATTACCTGGAGCAGAGGATGGCAGTGATGTAGGCTTGTCCAGCTTATCTGCTTGTTGTACTCTAAACGGGTCTATGAAGGGTGAGCGCACACCAACGTGGCGCTTTAGAATCCCTAGCCACTATATTTCCAGGTACGCTGATCTTGAACTTGTGGGCCGTACATGATGCTGTAGAGGTAGCTACCGATCCCTTATACTTATTATCTTGTGTTCCGATATCTTCCTGGCTTTGCTCCTCTCTAGATCGCTATGTAGAAAGAAAGAGGATATGTATATAAAGCGCGTAAATTTAAGAGAATAATCAATGAGTCTTTTATTCAAAAGCCTTAGTGTGCATGATCCCAAATACCACAGCTAATTCAGCGCCAGCTGAATGCAAGTCGGACCAACAGCGTCTGTATGGAAGGTCAGTTGCCGAGCATATGATTGTTTGCGCCGTTTCCAGATTCGACCTCTCACTTTCTGTTTCCGAGCGGAGATATCCGCTGTCCCGCGGTGACTGCACTACGGCAAGCCTATCTATTACCGAGTAACACAATCCAGCCTAGTTGCTTCATAAATTCTGTGGTTGAAGAGGCTGGAGACCCACTGCAGAACTTGACAATGATTTTGTTCAGAGAAGCGATAGCTCTGAATTGTGTATTAATGCTCAGAAGTACACTCCGGAAGGAGTGGTTACTGATCTCTTTCTCGGTGATCAGACGAGAAACCTGGCCGTAAACGAGGGTTTCCAGTATTTTCAGGTTGGTACACTTGTCTTGGAGGAGTCGCAAGCTCTGCAGGCCATCTTCTCTGAGTCGAATGTCACCTGATATATCGTCTATGCTCTCGATGACTGGAAAGTTCACGCGTAGGCGCGACAGAAAACCTGCATTCACAGGCCCGATACAAGTGAGGAAAGAATCTAGGAGGCTGCCTTGGCATTTGGAGACATCCTCGAGGACAAACTCATTTGCACCATACAGAACGGCCCTCGCCTCCATAGAGACTTTTCGATTGGTATATAGTAATGCCAGCCATTGGTGAGGTCTCTCTGGCGTAAATGTCTCTATCGGACAACCTGGATCCTGGAAAAGGAAGAGTGGATGTTGCACAGCAAGCACTTCCCTGTAAATAGTATGACGAAGTTCGACAGGGAGGCTGAAAAAGCCATCGTAAGCTGAGTTTGTTGGCCGAGAGTGAACACTTTCCGATCTCGCACCCGACATTGTGGGAGAGATTCAATGCCTTCGCCGGTGACGTACTATGCCGAGCAAGCAATTTGGCGCTTGTGTCCAGTTACTTCCAGGCCTACACTCGGACGTAATGTCCCTTTCTTTTCCTGGAGATGTTGGGTAATATATTGTCTCTCAACGGCAGTCGGTTTGGAGATCCAAACAATCTTGCGGTTGTACCTCTGGGTGCTCCTATCGCAACGCGTCCACGAGGGGTAGCGAAGCTGGGAGCGACCGATTACGGCCCAAGGATGACCTAGCCAGAAGCCCCGTTAGCGTCTGCGTGATACGTGGTATTCCCAAACGTACTGGTCGTGTAGGATCTAGAAAGTAGGTGACGGAGGGAGGGGGGGTGTTAACCATGTCCTGGCATTTCCGCGTCCAAGTAGTGGGAAGAGATAAGAATTGTTATGTAAGAGGGGCGGGGCTACTGCGTGCTCGCGAAAGTGCGGGTCCGGTGTTGAGACCCAAGCCCCGTTAGGCAAGACGACTTATCCAGTGTTACCGTATTACCCTCGGCTTTTAGGTACCGTAAACCGCGGATATAAGTAAATAATTCTGACCGCCCCCAGAGTGGCTTATAGTAGAGGATTCCCTATACTAGGACAAATGTCTTATAATTGGCCAGTTAACCGAAAACACGGTTCTAGTATATTTTACCATTACTGGGCCGTTACGACACTACAGTAATATTCAAAGCGTTTCATTTGGTTACTTTATTAGTATTCATTCGACCATGTGAACCGATGTTTTCGGAATTGGATTTAATCATATAAAGGAAGAGACTTGATTCTTAGAAATCTCGGGATATTAAGCAGTTTGTGAGTATAAACAATTCAGACCGGTGGTTTGAATTACTTGAACTGGAGGATTCCCTGTATAAGGTATTACTTAAACTTGAAGACTGTAGACGGAAGACCATGGGCATTGGTCCACAGCCCGACCGTGGGCCCAGCCAGGGAAGTCCCGCCCGTGGTGAGGGGTAAAGTCAGTCTCAAACCGAGCCGAATCAATTCTAGTTACTGGGAGCCCAGTTACTTTGATAAAGGAATGATTGTGTTGCCCAGATTCTCACACTTTTTCGCATGCTAATCATCGGACAATGGCGCATCCATCGACTGACAAAGACCAATTTCGACGTAAATTACGTCAGCGGTTAGATAGACTTCGGAACAAATCTCGAAGCCCGTTTCGCAATCCTACGGACAAGATCTACCCTCGCTCATTACAGGATGCTCAAGGGGACTTGGAAGTTTCAACCAGGTAAGTATTACATCCTATCAGTCAGATTGGGCTAACCAGGTAAGCAGTCTACCACAACTCGCTCTACTTGAGACCAGCAACGCCGATCAATCGCTTCTTATTTCGACTAGTAATACCTCGGAAACCTTGAAGCACACAAGGGAGGATGGACCGGGTCACATAAGGCCGAGATCTCCGCAAGGGGATATTACTGAGCAAAACCTGACGAAGAATCAATCGAACCCAGACGACAAACTTGACAGCGTCATTGGTTCTTCAGACCTTTGGAGTGCGGCTTACAGTGAGGCAGTGGCAAACCTTCGAGACGAAATAGATATTGTTATCTTGGAAGGGAGAAGTGTCACGCAGCTATTTACAGAGCTGGAACAATTAGAGCGGGAAGTGGCTCATGAATCCGCTTTCGACAGAGGGGTGAAATGGTTGCGGTCCTTACAGGTACCCCTCGAGAGATTTAAGCTATTACTGGATTTGGCGACCCCTCTAGCAAACATTGAACCAACGGCAACAACAGTCGTTGGTTTGATCAAAAGTGTGACTGCGGTAAATTGTTACATATACATACCCGCCCCAGTGGATATGATTTTCCGTGCTGACACAGACACAGATTGCCATAAGTTTTGCGACTGCTGATTTGGACTTTGCAAGGCAGATTGCGGATATGCTGGAGAAACTCTCCTACATCGATGACTGTGACACGCTCGGCCAGAAAGCTGATAGAAAAGACATCCACAAGGTATTACTGTTGTTACTTTACATGAAATCTATCTAATCCGATCAGGCGCTCGTCATGGTGTACCAGAAGCTGCTTGAGTTCTATAAAGTCGCTTATGAAATGCTGAGCCGGAAAGGGACAAAGTTGATAATCAAAATGGTCCTAGAGACCGATCGCCTTCCGAATATTGTCCAAGAATTTCTGAAGTACTCCGATACCCTCCGGAACCTCATACAGAAAGCAACATGGGAGATTGTGGAGGACATCAAAGCAATGCTTTACGACCACGAGAGTAAGTTATGCAATTAGACTTGTCGAGTAGGCGCTTATCAGACCGAAGTCTCTAAGTGGTTAGGGAGCGGCCAGATGAGCCATCAAAGCCAGTACCATGCTTACCTTCAAGACCTCCGAGCTGATGCAGCTTGCGAACAATTGCTTGAAAATCCTAACTTCATCAATTGGTATGCGGCATCTGACACTCAGCGACTGGTTATTCTTGGCGATATGGGATGTGGAAAGACTGTTGCTATGTCATATCTCATAGACATGATGAGAGAGAGAATTAGACGCCGTCTGCCCGAGCCTAAGATATGCTATTACTACTGCCGGGATGACAATACAGGGAGGGCTACCCACATAGCCTCGGCACTGATCCTATCGCTTCTGGAGCAGCTTCCAGGCTTGAAAAGGCCTTTTTTCGAGTGGTATAAAGAGGCTCAGGCATCTGGGACATTCGACCCAGCAACAAGTCTCAAGATATTGGGGGAATATATGGAAAGACTGCTCGAATTGACTGATCGCCCTGTTTTCTTCGTGATTGATGGCCTGGATGAGTGTGATCGGACGTCTCGAGGCAGCTTTCTGCATTTACTAGAACTGTTATCGGGAAAGGTCCCATCTCTGAGAATTTTGCTTTCCAGTCGTCCTGAACAGGAGATATTGGAGCAGCTGGGTGAAACAGCTGTTATGGAGCTGGATGCAAATGCCGAGAGAGATACGGTTGTGGTTGAAAAACTGGTCCAAGACCAGCTCTCATATCTATCGATGGATGTCAAGGCACTCGTCCAAGAAAGATTGTCTCATTCAGCGCGAGGGAGCGCCATATGGACGAAGATGATAGTGGAACTTATCAAAGTTCGCAGAATCAGAGCAATCGACCCTATGCAACGGTTCTTGGAGAATATGCCATTACCAAGGCGGCTTTCAGATCTCTATGAAACGTTACTTTTCCGTTGCACTTCCGACGAACCTGAGAATCAAGAGCTTGCAAGTACGGCATTAAAGCTTCTCGCCGTCGCTTATAGACCTCTTAGCTTGCTGGAATTAGCATGGGCTGCAACACTGGGCCTAGCTCATGTTACTACAGTAGATGCTCTTGCAAGTCTGGTAGATCACGAAAGAATCATAAGTCTGATCCATCCATTCATTGCTCGCGTCGATATGAGCGACGTGAAGAGACGCCAAGTCCGACTTGTACACCAGTCAGTGAAGGAGTTTATATTGGAGAAATGGTCCTCCAACCCATCTTCTGCACAAGGCATATCCCTGACAGAACCCGATCAACTGATCTCAACCCGGCGCCTTACAACTCTGAACGCATTCATGCTGGATATATGTCTCAGGTATCTCCTCTTGGACGATATTGGCAATAGAGATCTTTTTTCCCAGGAGCAAATGGCAATCGCAGAATTGCCCCAAGATGATAATCTTTTTGAGGATAACGAAGAGCCAGCTGACTACAATCCCTACTGCAGCTGGGAAACTTGGGAAGAGAGTATGATTCGCTATGATCCAACCGAGCGTGGTTTTGGTGAGTTCTTTGTATATGCTTCATGCCACTGGCTGGAGCATTTCGGAGCCACCTCCGACGAAGGCCTCCCGACCTTAGCTAGCATAGAAGATGTATGCCAAGCAGGCTCCCTTCGACTCCGTAACTGGATCCAACAGAATTGTCGCCCAGATTGTGTGATTTTGCCTAGGTTCGAGTTTGAAAGCAGCCTATACGACCCTCTCAGCATCACATCCCTATACGGTTCAGAGACCATGCTACGTGTTGTACTTGAGAACTCGGATTATGGCAACGGCAAATTTCTGCAGGACCCAGCTATGCGGGCTGCTGACCAAATTCTCCGGTGGGGAGAGATAGCAAGACTCAGAATACTGTTTTTCGACAATAGGTTGGGCCAACAGCTACAGAACCCTGATTTTTTTCGGCTCGTCATACGAAGATGGGGTGACCGCCCTCCAAGGTGCCAAGATTGGGAACCTGTATTTGACCTTGTTAAGTATATGCCAGACAAATCGGACCAGGGAGAATGGCGCAATGAGCTCTTACGAGTGGCTGTTGATGCAAACTGTACGCCCCTGATAAAGCGGTTGGACAGACCTAGCCACGGCACGGATCACTGATATTCTCGTCCGGCCAAATCCATCTCTCTGCAGAGCGCCCTCCGCACCTATAGCCGATTCCAATTATTATTTATGACGTATTCATTAGGCAGTCGTATACCATCAACACTCAATAGGCAAAATTAATAGAAGAGAAATGTTCGCAGGCTTTCCTCAGCGAACTTTCCTTAGGCTAGTAAGTCATTGATATAGTCTTGGAAGAGCAAAGTCATACTAATACTCAGGCTGTGGAGTATCTTTTCGTTTTGAATATATGTTATGCATTGAAGTATGTACTATAGAAAAAGAATATATGCATCATGGCTTTGTGAAGTATGCGCCAGGCCTAAATTGTTAAACCAAAGGAGTAGGTGCTCTAACGCCCCGAAGTGACTGTACTTCTCTCGGTAAAATCCGTGCACTTTGAAATCCCAGTCCCAATTTGGTGTTTCTGTCGCCTTTCCTCCTCATTGTTACTTTGGATTGAATAATCGCTAATGTAGTAGACATTGCAGTATCGGGTGTCCTGCCGTGACCCACCTCGAGCATTCTAACCAAATCATAGCCGAGGCCCCAGCACTGCTGGAGCTTGACGACACCAAACATGCCGAACTACCAGCCCAATTCTTGGAAGCCTTTCTGAATAGCGTGATTACACTAGCTAAGAAAATTCGGGAGTAACTGTCAGCACAGGAGATCCAGGGCAAATTAAATAATTTATAGTTAATTACAGAGAATATCACTTGTATCAGAAACACAGTCAACAATATTACTCTTATCTAATCTTAGAATAAAGCGACGGATACTTGTTCTTTGGATAATATCTGGAAAGAAATAAAAATTTTTCAAATAATAATAAAATTAAAGAGCTATTATAAGGTACAGGGTCATGTACTAACAGTAGTTACTGAACTCAAGATATAGGCTAGTGTGTCAGGGACGCGGATAAGCCTGGTGAACATAAAGTTCTGGCACATGAAGTCATGTGATTTGGCCCATGAGTCACTCGTAGAACTGATGGAGAGATATTGGAGAGCTTCTTCAGCCAGCTTTGACATTCAATACTAAAGTATATTTATTAGTTTTTCCGAAAAAGTTAAGATCATGAATAAAGAAACAGTAAGCGGTTTCTGGCTAATTTCATCCCGCAACTCATACATCCAAGGCGTAGTTAGTCCTTCCCGTTAACTTACGTGATATGATAGGAGAAAAAGCCACGTCAGCTTCACAAATCAAAGCGGGGTATTTGGGTACGGTTTATTGGGGTTCAAACGGCGAGGGTGAATGTTCAGGTTAAATTGGGGTTCAGGCGGGAAGGCTGAGTGTTCAGGTGAAGGAGGGTGAACAGGGTGAAGGGAAAGCGGCACGGGCACTAAGCCCAACGAATCACAAAAAACGGGTGAACACCGACATACAACAGAAGGGATTCGCTGGTGGTCACCCACCCAACTACTAACCTCCCGGCGTGTGGCTTAAGTACGGCTGAGCGGACGGGAAGCCCTGTTTTCCACACCCTATGGTCGTATGTGCTTGGGATAGGTAGTTTTATGTTTAAGTAGGCATGGAAATATTCAATGAATGAGTGATGTTTATCTAGAGTCTCGCCACTCTTACTGGTCGTGGCATATATTTCGACCGTGAGCAAAACCAAGACAATCCGCAGGCAGTTAAATGTACGATTGCAGGATAGACCTTTTCTCTCGAAGGCAGGGAAGGAGTATTCTAACGAGAATAAGTTTCCTATAAAGGGAACTCAGCTTTGATAAATGACAGAATAAACAACGTAGTAGACAAAAATGAGGGGACAGATAAATATAGACATAAGGAAATGTGACACAGTAGTCAGTCTGACAGATGCTGCTTATCAAGGCCCAGCCTTGTGCAACTTCAAAATCTCACACAAAAGGAAATAACAGGTCCCGCCTGTTAACATCAGCGAGTGAACAATTTAAAAACCCAAATCGATCAATATCCTTCAATCATCTTCTTCACAGAATCTTCAAACAACTCTTTCACGTATCCCGCCCGCTCATCCGTGAGAACATCAGACCAGTATCCCAGCTCCGCATCAACCTCTGTGACGCCATCTCCACGACTGTGGATCTGCAAGCCAATCGACACGTCCCAAGCAGTGGGATCCTCTGCCGAACGAAGCTCAACCTCGAGTTCAGTCCGCTCGGTGGCCTTCTGACCCACCCGCGAGTCCATATACTGTAAACTCATAAGAGAGTTCCATGCTGGGGTCTGCCACACGTCTTCCATCTGTGCCAGGCCGTACTGATGCTCCAGCGACTCGAGGAAACCATCTCGTGCCTGCCTAAGCACATCACCAATGGCTCTGTTGCTGAGATCGATCCGACACAAAAGCATTTGAATGAGCGGACCAACTGTCTCTGCTGCGCCGGTGAACGGTGCGTCTCTGTTGGCTGTCATGAAGGAGAACAGGGTCTTATCCGACCCGGTGAGGTGCTGTAGCACCATTCCCCAGGCGGTCTGAAGAAAGGCTGCCATCGTGACACCGTGCTGCACGCAGAAGGCGGGTAGTCGGCTGGTGGTCTCCGAATCGAGGTTGATGGTCTTTGTCTTATGGACCCGGGGCTGCGAGGGCACAAGGCATGAGGCATCGGTATGAGGGATAAGCGATGCTCCCGCGCTCTGTGAGAACTCTAGCCAGTATTCCATGTCCTTGACTAGTGTTTCGCCCTGGCTCATGCTGCGCAGCCAGACCGAGTAGTTGCCGAAAGACGGGGCTGTGGTGGTGGGAAGCTTGCCCTCGTATGCCTGCATCAGGTCACGGAGGATCAGAGCGACAGAAACGCCGTCGGTCAGGGTGTGGTCTGTTTCGGTTTTGAAGGCGACCTTCTTCACCCCGTCCTTTGTGGTTGTACGGAACAAGGTGAGCTGATGGTGTGGCTTTCTGTTCGAGAGGCTGTAGTTGACTGATCGGTAGGCGTCCATTCGAGCCGTCATCTCATCTTCGCTGGCGCACTCGATCACGGGGACCTCAGGGTACCAGTTTCGGATCACAATTTGGTCGTATGAGCCCGGCGAAGACATGCTGGGCAGGAATACCGTGCGAAGTGCGGGATGACGTTGCACAACCTGGTGCCATGCGTCGCGGACTCTGTCCACGCCGACGACACCGTTGATTGTATGGGCGTGGTAGGTGAAGTCCATCTCGTATAGGCGGCGGTTGGGGTACTTTTCGCGCTCTGCGAGCATGTGTCGCTGTACTGGGGCACAGGGGTAAATTCCTTCAATGTTGTCGAGGGTGATGCATTGATCCTGGGGCTGGTGCTGCACGATTGAGGGTTTGGGGGTGGAGGTAGGGGTAGGGGTAGGGGTAGGGGCGGTGCGAGTGGGAGTGGGAGTGGGGGGTAGGCTTTTCACACCACTGAGAACCTCAATGGCAAGGCTAAGCGTTGATTTTGTCTTGGCTGCCCACTCAACAATCCTATCCTGGTGTTGCATGTGCTTGTTATAGGCCATGGTGACGTGAGTCTTACCACCCACAACAAGAGCCACGATGTCGAAAAGAGACCAGCGAGGAAGCTTTTCATCTTGGACCAACTGGTCGAAAGTCGCGCCGTCTGGAAGCTCGGCATGCGAGAGAAGGGCGTTCTCCGACCCAACTTCAGAGGAGCGGCCAAGGTAGTTAAACATGATTTCCATGTCGAAATGCGACCCGAAGGCCTTGCGTCCCTTTTCAGACAGGTATCTGGAGCTGAAATAGGACATGCCGTTGGCGGGTAGGCTGCGGCGCAAGTCCTTGACTGTTTGCACGGTTGCGATGATGTCCGACTCGAGATCAGATACATGCAGTGGGCTCATAGTCGTGAACCAGCCCACTGTGCCGGAAGGATCGACCTGGTTGTTCCATGACTCGCGACCGTGGCCCTCGGAGAAGACTGGTGGTGCGGCGCGGTCGGGGAAGACAGCCGCAAAGGAGTGGAGAAGAGAGGCCAGAACGATATCTACAGGGGCAGCGTTCGAAGCCCCCTTGCTGACACTCATTAACTGGTTTGTTAGTGTCTCATCGAGCCAGAAATCAGTCACGACGGCGTCACAGTATCTGTTGGACTTGTTGCCTCCCATTCCCCAGTAGTTAAAGTTGGCCGCAGGCATGCTTGTGTTAGCGAATGGTAGCAAATTTCTCGGCTCGAGAGACTGTGCCATCTCCTTCTGAGAACGTAACCAACTCTGGAAAGAGAGCGGAGCTGGGCCAGCCAAGCTGCCAGTGGCAATGGCCAGCTCCAGGTCGCCCAGGAGAACGTGCCATGAAACCACATCCACCACCAAATGGTGAGCATGAACGAACATCAACTGCTTGCGCTCTGCACGGACATTGTACACGCGGGCAGCGAAGACTGGGCCCGTTTCGATGTCAAACACACCGCCCATGTTTCTAAGTATGTTGGAAACTTGATAACCATCTTCCACGTCTTCGACACTGAAATGGAATGAGTTTGCCGAGTCTTCAGCAAGGTACTGGTACCATTGGCCGGCATCATTCCGTGAATACCGGGCGCGGAGCATCGAGTGCCGGCGAACGACCTGCACCAGCGCCTGTCGCAATGCTTGAGGAGGCACGGAGTTGTTGACTTCCAGAAGAATGCTTTGGTCGAAATGACCAATGTTTGCATCCGCGGCAGATCCTACCAAATCAAAGTACATTTGCTGGATTGGCGAGAGTTCGAAAGATCCGTCCTGGACCTTCTTCACGGCTGGCTCAGTATATTCCGCTTTTGCTGCAAGCTCCACCAGGCTCTTGCACCTGATAATGTCCAGCATGGAGACTGTGACCCCGTCGGCGCGAGACTTGCTACGCAGCTGCATGGCAGCGACGGAGTCGCCACCAAGGGCCAGAAATGAGGAGTTGAGGTTGAGTGTCTCCGCGTTCAAGCCGAGGATCTTGCTGATGAGGTTGCACAGGATCTGCTCCACTGGGGTGGATGGGCGACGAATTTCTTCTTCCTTCTTGTCACTACCTCCCTCACGTAGCAAGGAGGCATATGTTTCTTGATCCATCTCTTCCATCCAAGCATCCACGGACTTCCGATCCACCTTAGAATTGGCGCTCAATGGAACGGCCTCGACACCAATCCAGATCGTTGGCACCATGTAGCTTGGCACGTTTTGTTGCAGCAACCCACGCACGGAAGCAAGTTCCTCTCCAATTTTAATACCATGAGAGGCTTCATCCAGCACGATTATCTTGTTGGCAACGGGCGAGCTGGTCGACGAGACATCATGGAGACTCAACATGGCCACCAGCTTGTCCTTGAGCGGCCCGTGGCGAGGAATGCGTGCAACCGCCTGGCGCACTCTTTCGTGTCTCAACATGCCATGCTCCACTTCGTCCAGCTCCATTCTTTGACCGTGGAGCTTCACTTGATTATCCTTCCGACCGGAGAATAACATGTAGCCGTTGGCGTCGTAGCGTGCCAAGTCTCCAGTTTTGTACATCCTGCGAGGCGAAGCACTCTTGTCCATCCTCTTCCCCCAGGCTGGATCCTCGATGTATGCGGCTGCCGTCTTTGCGTCGTCCTTGAGATAGCCTCGCGAGACGAGGGGACCTTCGACAACAATTTCTCCGACGCAACCAAGGGGTACTAGTCTGTCGTGATTGTCTGGATCGCAGAGCCACATCACACTACCCATTGGGTTTCCGAGGCCTTGTGCACTTGTTTCCCGGGTTGTCGGGGGCGTCGCAGATGCATAGATGGTGGTCTCGGCTGGGCCCCAAATAATGATCAGGTTCAGTTTATCCGACCAGGTTTGGACGTTGTCTTGAGTGGGTGCCTCACCACCGAGGACGAGGGTTCGCAGTGTCGGAACAGCTTCTGGGCGGAGGAGCTTGGCCACAGATGGGGTGACTGACATGAAGTTCGCCTTATATTTGGTGATGGCGCCGGGAAGCTCGTTCAATCTCTCCCAGTCAGATGGCGTGCAGATGGTGGCTCCGCGTTGGAGTGAGATGAAAATGTCACCGAGACCGATATCGAAAGTGTAAGCCGAGAACTGGAACACCCTGGTGCCAGGGTTGACCTTGAATTGTGCACCGTGTGCTTGTGCGCTCATGCGCAGGTTGCCGTGCTCGACCACAATTCCCTTGGGCCGACCTGTGCTTCCCGAGGTGAAGCAAACATAGACGGCGTTCGAGGGCTTGACCTTGGGCAGTTCAACGTAGTCAACGTCGGGCAGGCGATCCAAGTACTCTTGGTTGATTGGGATAGTTGTAACAGCGGCACCATCAAAAATGCCACTGTGCTGTGGCGAGACCAATACAAACTCGGCTCCGATTGTCTTCAAGATTTCCTTTCTGCGGTTGGCTGGGTGAGTAGGTCCGAGATGCACAACGACACCTCCAGCCTTGATGATAGCTATGGTGGACACGATCGCCCATTTTGACTTGTCAAAGCATAGAGGCACCATGACTTCGAGTCCAACGCCCTTCAGAACAAGTGTTTTGGCTAGCTTGGTTGCGTAGTGCTCTAACTGGATGTAAGTCATCTCACCATCCCAGCCTGAGAGGGCGAGGTTGTGAGGACGAAGTCGACTTTGCTCCGCAATGGCTTCGTGAACTGCCTTACCATCGATGGAACCCGCAGGCCATCTAGCGTTCCAGGCCTCGATCTGGGTAAAGTCACTTGGGCCGAAGATGTCGAGGTCACGAAGTTTGTTAGCTTGCACCTCGTCGGACGCCATGCGATAGAGCTGGTCAACAACGTGTTCGAACTGCTTGCATATCCATTCCATCTGGTGTGTGGGGATAACGGTCGGATCATGTCGTGCCAAAACGTTGACAGTCTCCCCGTTCTCCGCCAGATGACACTCGAAGACAATAGGATATGACCAGAATCCGTCCAGCAGCTCAGGCATCTCTATCTCTGTGATGAAGCCTTTCTGGGTGGAATCCTCTCCGAACTCGAACAAGGTGGTAAAATCGAGAGCGGCTTGGACCTCCTTTCCTAACTGCCGAAGCGTCTGCACACCAGCATGTTGGTGCGGGATCATACTGACAGATTGTTCTTGGACGCGCTGGAGGAAGTTGACGATGGCCTCGTCGTCGTTGAGCTGGATACGAACTGGTACTGTAGTCACGGTCGGCCCGACAACTTCAACGATGCCAGGGACAGCGCAGTCGCGACCTGATTGTGCCGCACCAAAGGTGATATCATTCGACCCGGCATGTCTGGAGCTCACAATGGCCCATGCCGCTCGCAGCAGCGTTGACTTGAGAATTCCAGTCGGTTGCTGCTCGGGTGCCGGTAGACGAATGGTGTGAGACACGTTGGCACTGTTCTTCGCCTCGTATGTCTTAGAGGGCAATTTGGGGAAATGAGCGGGTGTACCAGTGAGTTGATCTTTCCAGAAGCTGTCCGACTCGGACTGATCAACCTGAGAGAGATGACGAATGAAGACATTATATCCTGGTCCCACCTGGTATTGCTCACCCGCGTAGAACTTCTCCACAGCTCCAAGCAGCACCGTGGCACTCCAGCCATCATAAAGAGCGTGATGGAGGGCCAAGACAAATTTCCGTGCCTCAATATCGATCGCAAAGGAGCAAAGCCGGCCTCCGTACTCAATCATAGGAAGGCTAAAGGATGTCTCATCGGTGATTGTCTGCCAGGTCAACTTCTCCTTGACCACCACCTGGAGAGACTCGGACGCGCGACCAAGAACAATGCGTGTCCGCAGGATCGGGAAAACATCAGCTGCCTTTTGCCATGCTGCTTTGAAGCGGTCGATGTCGAGATCGGCTGGCAAGTCGAAGATTCTTGTTGAGATGTAGGAGCCCTGCTTCCGCGTGGAGACTGCCATGAGACCTTCTTGCAGCGCTGAACAGAGATAAATGTCTTCGATATCGCTCGAATCAACGTTGCATTGGCGAACGGCCTCCTGAATAGCGTCATCAACGATCTCTGGTTGAAGCAGAGAGAAAGGCGCAATGTTTGCATCTTGGCTTTGCACACTACTTTCCCAGAGCTCGGCCATTTGATACAGGCGCGGCATGCGGAACAAGTCGCTCACTGCCAGCGCCTTGCCAGCGCGACGAGCGGCGGCTGCCAGTCGCATGGCTTGAATTGAATCGCCTCCCCTATGGAAGAAGTTGTCGTTGGCCGAGATTGACTCCTCTGGGAAGATCCCGAGAAGTTCCGACCACAATCCCCGGAGTCGCTTCTCCGCCTCGCTGGTGCATGCACGACCTCCGTTAGATTTGCAGGAATCGGCTTCATCGTCCAGAGCATATTTTTGTCGTTGCTCGGACGAGAAAGACGCCGCAAGTGTTCGGAGCGCCTTGCGGTTCTTCTTCCCTGTCTGTGTCACGGGCATGGATCGCATGGGAATAAAGAAAGAAGGAACCATGTGGGGAGGGATTGTCTCCAAAAGGTGGTTCTTCAGGGCGACGAGCTGGTCACGGACGACGTCCAAGCTTTCGACATACTCAGACGCATCAGTTAACTCGGAGGCCGTATTGAGCCTTAGGAATGCCGCCAGAGCCACGCGGTCTTTGTTGCCATCCAGGAAGATCTTTTCAACCACGACGGCATCCGCATCAATACCATGGGCCACAATGTTTTGTTCCACCTCACTCAGCTCAATGCGCTGCCCACGGACCTTGACTTGGCTATCCTTGCGACCAACGTAGAGGATAGTGCCGTCTGCATCATACTTCACCAGGTCACCTGTCTTGTACATGCGCATGGTTTGGATGCCCAGCTCCCGTGCAAATTTCGGGTTCTCGATATAGGCAGCAGCGGTCTGTTCCGGATTGGCTTTATAGCCTCGAGTGACGATAGGGCCTTCGACACAGAGCTCGCCGACGCAACCGATCGCCACCAGACGATTGTGGTCATTTGCTTCGGTGATCCATGTGCGGCATCCCAGTCCTCGGCCAATGTTGTTCGGAGACGAGGTTCCCGGCTGCAGATGCGAGGCACTAGTCCAGATACTGCACTCCGAGGGCCCATATGACTGTTAGGGGTTAGCAATGTGTCTAGAAAAAAGACATAAAGAGAGCAGTTAGGAGGACATACATTGAGGAGCGTCACACGGGATGCCCATCGGTCACATAGCCCTTGACTGATGGCCTCACCGCCCAAAGCCAGATGCTTCAAGCCTGGCATCTGCTCCGGATCGAGTGTCTCTGCAGTTGTTGGAACATGGAAGGACCAGTTCACTCTATATTTGTTAACAGCGCCAGCGAGGTCGCTAAGTCGCTCAGTCTCAGACGGCACACAAACACAGCCACCCCGCATCAGGGTTGTGAAGACCTCCGAATTGGACACGTCAAAGACATGTGAGGCAAATTGAAGGGTGCGAGTATCCGGTCCCATTTGTACATGAGGTCCTTCATAGTGCTGCATGGAGCACAACCCTCGATGCTCGATGATTGCGCCCTTGGGCTTACCGGTACTGCCGGATGTGAAAACGATCAGAGCTGCGTTGGATGGTTGCACGGTGGACGTGACGCGGTCAGCTGTTGTTTGTTTGGGTATATATTCGAAACTGGCATCATCGATCGGGAGAACCTTTGGTGCCATGCCGGCGAACTTATCCGCATGGTGGGGTGAACAAAGTACCAAGGGTGCTTGGACGTCCTGGAGAATATCCTGCATGCGAGCGGCGGGATATGCCGGGCTCAAGGCCGTGTAGCAACCGCCAGCCTTGAGGACGGATAACATGGAGACGACATTCCATTTGGACTTGTCAAAGCAAAGAGCGACAGTCACTTCTGGGCCGATACCGAGGCTTTGGAGATGGGCTGCGAGGCGTTCCGTCACTGCATCCAGTCCTCTGAAGGTGAAGCTTCCGTCCCAGGCACACACAGCCTCAGCGTCTGGACGCTCCTTGGTTCGCTCCGCGACAAGTTGATGTATACACCCTTGTACTGTCTCAGGCAGATCACCATTCCATGCGGTGATCTCGCTCATGTCTTCTGGACTAAGAACTTGGATATCGCGAACGCAAGTCTCCGGTTGACTGGTCAGTTGCTGGACGACATGGTTATACTGTCTGAGCAGTCTCTGCATATCTCGATCAGAGATCAAAGTATGATCATATCGGGCTTCCACGACAATTGCTCCGTCACTGTGGTCGTAGTTGCGAATGACCAACGCATCCGTGTAAAAGCCCTCTGGCAGATCGGCGGTTACGATTTCCATTCCGTCGAGGGCCTCGCTGACGTCCGCGATGCTCGGCTCCACCGCGAAACGATGTCCCATGTTGTCGATAGCCGCACGAGCTTGCTCATTGAGTCGACGAATATTCTGCAGGCCGGTGTGTTCAAACGGCATCATTGTCATACCCTGCTGGTGAAGGGAGTCCAAGTACTGTGCGACCGTTGTCTCGCCGTCCAATGGAACTGTCATGCGGAACGGGGCGGTTGTCATCGTGGGCCCGTTCATGGTAGAGATACCCGCAACCGGGGCGTTTCGGCCAGAAAGGGTCACGCCGAACAGGACGTCAGAGCTGTCCATGCGTCGAGCCACGACTAGACCCCATGCGGCGCGCAGATAGTTCGTCACCGAGATCTTGGTCCCGGTCGGACGATTCAGCTGGAATTGCAAGCGACACGCGCGATGAGGGACAACCTGGTGGCCTTGTGGCCGAGGAGGGAATTGGGGTGGTGCCTCGCCATCAGCAGGGAACTGCTTCTGCCAGTACTCTCTGGCAGAGCTGTCTCGCTCCTGATCCTGCAAGAAGCGGATGAATCCCTTGAAAGACACCGGCTTGGGCACGACGGAACCATCGTGTTCCATTGCATGGGCAATTTGTTCGAATGTGATGTCCATGCTGAAGCCGTCGCACAGCGCATGGTGTCCTGACCACACGATGTAGCGTTCTCCGTCCTGCTCTTCTACCAGGGCAAGGCGAATTAGCGCGCTTCCATAGGTCACTGGAGCGTTCAAATCCTCCTCGAGATACCCGGCCAGATTGTCGCTCTTGGTCCAGTTAACCGGGACATTCAATACCGCCTGGAGCAGTCCAGCGCCACTGACGCTCACAAAGCGCGTGCGGAAAATGGGTTCGGCGGAGGCAACAGCATCAAACGCACGGCGGAATCTGGACACGTCATAATTCGGGTCCGTGAGGCGCAAGATGCGTTGATCCTTGTACGCTCCGGTTTGTCGCATGGAAAGAGCAATCAGGCCCTCCTGCAGTGGGGTGGACGGGTACATATCGACGATGGCCTCGGGCCTAACACCACACTGTGCTGCTGCTTCGGCGCGAATCGTTTGCAGTGGTAAGGTAGATGACAGTGGGACAAGGTCAAATGCCGTCTCATCTGTTCCCGGTTCACCAGATTCATCGCCCATGCGCACGACTTGAGCCATATCGGACAAGACGGGATGCGCAAAGATGTCCGCGAAAGTCAAGGACATGCCTGCCACTCGTGCAGCACCTGCAAGCCGCATAGCCACGACTGAGTCGCCTCCAAGTTGGAAGAAGTCATCAGAAGCGCCCACCTTCTCCATAGGCAGGTTAAGCACTTTACTCCAGGCAGCCTGCAGCTTCTGTTCACGGGGTGTCGTCGGTGCCCTCTTCGTAGTATCACCCTGTAGCATGTAACGGGAAACATCGGACTCCGAGAGAGAGGCGATTATCTCGCGCAGGACATTTCTAGCCAACTTGCCGTTTGCGGTTCGCGGGATCTGTGTGATTGGAATGAACATGGCGGGGACCATGTACTGGGGCAGACTGGTTTTGAGGGCTGCCTTGAGGTCTGAAAACAGGCGGGCGAGTGTCTCGGTCATGGGAGTTGGCGAGGTGTCCAGCGGCTTTGAGGACGACTCATCGAGGAACTGAACGAATGCTACCAGGGTTCGGTGCTGAGTTTGGCTGCTTGGAAGCATCACGGCATCGACAGACACTAGACTCGAGTGGTCAAGCTGGGCCAGCTGTGCCTGGACTTCGTACTTGATGTGGTCAAGCTCAACGCGCTGGCCGTGAATCTTGATCTGACTATCCCGGCGGCCGATGATGGTCAGACTACCATCCCGGTTGAAACGGCACAGATCACCGGTTCTGTAGAAGCGTCGGTTACGGTCCGGAGTCATACTCTTTGCCCATTTCGGCTTTTGGACAAAGGCTGCTGCTGTCTGCTCTGGATTGTTTAGATAATGACGTGCAAGCAGCGGACCCTCAAGGAGGAGCTCGCCCACAGCCCCCAGAGGCATCAGCTTGTGGTGATCGCTAGGGTCGACAATCCATGCGTGGCAACCAAAGGCCTGACCAATATTTGCTGGGCTGCCATTAACGCTCAGGCGGGTGGGAGTACAAGTGACGGCAACAGATGACTCGGCCGGGCCATAACTGTTGTAGAGCTCCACCGCTGGCGCCCAGATCTCCACGTTCTCCCTGGTAAGGGGCTCTCCAGCACTGAAGAGCCATCGAAGCTGAGGAACCTGCTCCGGGCGCATGAGACTGATAACTGTGCTGGTCAAATGGGCGTGGTTAGCGCGGAGGCGGTTTAAAGCGCCAGGGATGTCGTTGACACGGTCGTCATCCGAGGGGACGCAAATACAGCCACCGCGTTGTAGGGTCGTGAAGATGTCCTGGTTCGATGTATCGAAGGTGTAGCTGGCAAACTGGAAGACGCGAGCCTCTGGGCCGATGCGAACTGCCGGACCCATGAGATCTGACAAGGTCGCCATCGAGGCATGTTCCACCACTACAGCCTTGGGGCGGCCTGTTGTACCAGACGTGAAAACGACGCAAGCTGCATTGTTTGGCTGGATGGAACCACATGCCGGCCCTGACTTCGAAGGGAGCTTGGCAACAAATTCGGGAGTGATCGCCACGATGCTCAAGCTGTCGCATGCCTCGAACAAGTGCCTATTCTGCGGTGCCACGCACACCACCGTGGCTCCAGCTTCTTGGACCAAGCCTTCCAGTCGCTTTCTTGGGTGTGTCGGATCCAGACCTACGAATGCACCACCCGCTTTCAGGATTGCAAGGCACGTCACGATAGTCCAGCCCGACTTGGGGAAACAGTGTGGCACTACGGCCTCGGGACCTACCCCCAAAGCACGAAGGTAGTGAGCGAGGCGGTTAGATACCTCATCGAGCTGCGAGTACGTCCATTCGCCATCCCAAGCACACACAGCCTGGGCATCAGGCTGCACGCGAGCGAGTTTCTCGAACTTGGTGAAGATCAATCGGTTTGCCCGTGGCAGCGGGTGGGTGTTGAAGGACAATAGTTCATGTTTATGGGCAACCCCCACAAGGCTCACCTCACTGATAGGGGTATCCGGTCGGGTTATAATAGATTTAACAGCACTTCCAAGCGCACTGGCAATATTGCTTGCTTGTTTAGGTGTCAAATGATCGGTCCAGTGACGGAGGGAAGCTCGCGCCATGTTGGAACCGTTGAGCTGCACGTCTAGGACGATAGCATACTCGTCGGGTTCGTGATCCCCGATGTTCTTGAAGATGAGTGAAGAATCGGCGGGGCTGTCAACATCGCGGTTTACCGTAACGATAGTGTTGAAAAGTGGACTTCCTCCTGTCTTGAGTGCATGCTGGATGTTGGAGAGACCAACGTGCTGGTGAGGCAGAGCGTTGACGTAGTCATCAGCAACAACTTGCACGGCGTCCAGTAGTGTATTAACAGTGGTAGCATTGGCACCTGCGTTCTCAGTTGCAAAAGACAGACGGCTCACCAGCATAGTGAGGAAAGCACCCACTCCGTCTTGGATGCCCTGCAGGGGAGCGTCGCGTCCCGCCGAGAGGTAACCGAAGCAGACTTGCTCGGGCGACTCAGCATAGGCGCGGAGTACCAGGGCCCAGGCGGCTTGGAACACGTTGGCAGGGGTGACTGAGGCCTTCCGGCAGAAGTCGAGGAGTGCCTCATTGGAGACCCCTTCCTCCTTCAGGGGAACCGACACCACGTTCAACTGCCTCTCACCTTGATTGTCGGTTTCTAGACTGGCCAGCCTAGGAACCATGGTCGCACTTTGATCCTTCAGGTATTCTGCCCAAAAGTCGATTGATGAGGCCAGAGGTGTCTGTCGAATGTGGGAGATGTAGTTGCGGAACGGCAGTGCTGGCTCCCACTTGGCGGCATGACCATCATACGCCTGCAGTAGGTCACGGACGATCACGGCCGCGGATACGCCATCCACGATGGCGTGGTTGATCTCTAGCTTCATCACAACGTGGTTGGCTCCAGCAATGCGGCAAATGGAGAGTCGATGGGCAGGTTCGGGTCCTCTGATTGAGACAGGGTCTTGGTTGGCAAGGACCAAAGCGAAGTCATCAGTAGGGCAGCAGTCCACGATTGAGATATTGGGCTGGGTGTGCGATAGCACAACTTGGCTGAATTGAGCCTCGACGTCGGCACTTTCAACGAAGATGGTGCGTAGAGATGTGTGTCGCTGCACAACCTCGCCCCACGACCGCGCAAGTCGCTCAACGGACACCGACTCCTTGGGATCGCGCGACCTGAGTTCCGCGATATGGTAGACATCATATGTGTCATCCTTAGACCGGTGCTGGCTAAGCAACAGGTCCTGTTGCATGGGTGAGCATGGATAAATATCTTCGATCAACGAGGTCTCGGGCCCAGGAATGAGGCCGATCTGAGGCAGTTTGTCGTAGATAAGGTTATCCAGGGTGCTGTAGCTGACCTCGCCCAATAACGGAAAGTCTGATGGAGTGTATTCGACTGGGGCGGTCATCATCTTGACAACGAGGGTAGCAAGTGTTTCCTGCGCGGTCGCGATCCAAGCCTTGACGTGGGTCTCTTGCACAACCTTCTTATTGAAAGAGAACGCAAGCTGAATATTGTCATCGATAACTTCCGCCACAATGGAGATGTTGCTGACCAAAGGAGCGGCGCCGGGAGCAGGAAGGAAGACCGGGCGCGGCTTAATCTGCACCAGACTGCGAGGACCGTCAATCACGTTCGACAGATTGCGGTAGCGAAACGAGATCTCTGGGCTTTCAGTACTGCTTGACTTCATTCTCGTTTTCCGGGCGTCCTTGATTCCCTTCAGCATGCGCACTTGCTCGTCGGTGGTGCTCATATCGGCGGTGTCGAGAGCCATTGAACGGAGAGTCTCGAATCGACCAACGGTTTGCGAGAGGTCAATGCCGAAATCTTCAAACGCAAGTCCACGCTCATCCTCCCACAGAGCAAGTGTAGGCAGGGTCTCGCGGTCGCCAAAGATTTGGCTGAACGAGAGCATCAGACTTGCCATTATCAAGTCGACAACGTCAGTCCGCAGTGGTCTGTGTACTTCGTCGCTCAAGAGCAGAGTGGCTGTTTCCTGGTCAATCTCCACTGCCTGGTAGTCCATATCAACTTCCGTGGCTGCCAAAGCGCGTGGCGCGACTGCAATCTCGGCGCCCGATGACTCTCTCTCAAAATTGACCCAGTTCTGAAAAGAGACTGGCTCCTCGGCTTTCTCGTCCGGAATAGGCCCATCTGAGAGACTCAAGCAGTTCTGAAGCTGTCGGATGATGATGTTCCAGGAGGGTGTGTCGATCACAGCACTGTGGGCTCTCAAGACCAACAGTTGCTTTTCTGTTCCTGAAACCAAACCAGCAGAGAAAATGGGTCCAGAGAGTGACACCGCGTCGGCTGAGGCTGCGATGGTGGTGATATCTTCAGGACGTTCTATGCGGTGATGTTGGAAGCGGTAAGAACACTCAACCTCAGAGGCGATCGTTTGCTTGAGGGAAACGGCGCCGTCCTCTACAATGTCAGCAAAGCGCGCCCGCAACATGGAGTGGCGGGTAACAATAGCCTCCAGGGCAGCCTTGACCCGAGCAGCCGAAACACTAGCATCCAATTTCAAGAGAATGCTCTGCGTGAGGTGGTTTGCCGCCCTCCCGTCACCCAGACAGAATTGCTGAGCCCTGGAAAGTGGAAACGAGGCATCCAAACTGCTCGACTTTGGTTTCAGACCAGAGGACTTCTCCAAACGGCCAGCCAGGTCTTTGATGCCATTGCTCTTCATCATGTCCTGTACTGTAACATTCAAGCCAGCACGCTTGCATTGTGAGATCACACGCATGGCAGCGAGACTGTCGCCACCAAGCGCGATGAAAGACTTGTCCAGCGGCAGACTGTGAGTGGGAGTGTTCAGGGCACCAGCGAAAATGTCTCGAAGGGCTCGCTCGACCTCTGACAGATCCAAGTCGGCCTCCTCATCCAAGGAGCGATTTTCTGACGAATCAGCACTGAGTAATCCTAGAAGGCGATTGTACAGGCTCTCATCCATATCCAACAACCAGTTGAAAACCCGCTTGCGATCGAGCTTGGCGGACACCAACAGCGGCCATGCCTCAACCACGATCCATACGGCGGGAACCATGTATTCCGGCACACAGCCGCGCAGGTGGTTCCGGACTGCATCGGTCTGGTCCTTGACATCTGGTCTCTCATCTTCGAATAGCACGTCGATCGGCGCACTGGAGTCGCCAGCTTTGGAGTCCTGAGCGAAGTCTTTCAAGCATACAACGGCGACGATTTTCTCCTTGCAACGCCCAGCCTTGGGAAGGAATGCCGCAGCATGTTTGATGTGGGGGTGGCGAGCGATGTTGTGCTCAATTTCACCCAACTCCACGCGTAGACCACGAAGTTTAACTTGGGTATCTTTGCGACCCAGGATCTGGATGGTGCCGTCAAGGTTAAACCGGGCCAAGTCACCGGTCTTGTAAAAGCGCATGGAAGCACTTTCACTCAACACGGTCGCATTGGATGGTGTCAGCGACCAGCCTTCGGTCCAGGTCGGGTCCTCAATGAAAGAGGCGGCGGTCTTTTCTGCATCGTTCAAGTATCCACGAGCGAGAATGGGACCGGAGATCAAGAGTTCGCCGACGGCGCCTAGTGGAACGAGCCGGTCGTGGTTCTCGGCATCGACGATCCAGCAAAGTCCACCAACGGCGCGGCCAATATTTGATGGATCGCTGTTTGGTTTTAAATGTGGATCACCCGCAGCGGCAACGGAACATTCGGACGGACCGTACCCGTTGATAAGTTGCACGTGTGGTGCCCATGTCTCGATGTCGACTTTGCTGAGTGGCTCACCACCAAGGGCGAGGGTTTTGAGCTTGGGAACCATCTCGGGTCGCAGTAGCTTGACGAGCGACGGCGTCAAAAAGGACCATGTGATGTCGAATTTGTCGAAGATGGGCTGGAGACCCTGGGCCATGCTAGCCATGTCTGGAGTGCATACACATGCACCCGAGATAAGCGAAGTCATGATCTCCAGCATACTCACATCGAAACTGTACGAGGCGAGCTGCAAGACTCGACTCCCGCGAGAGAGGTTGGATAGAGAGGCGTGTACGAGGGCACCCGAGATGAATGCCTTGTGCGGGATGAGACAGCCTTTCGGCTTTCCTGTGCTTCCTGAAGTAAAGATGAGGTAGAGGAGATTGTTAGGGGTAACGCCGGACTCGAGGATCTGATCATCGACGGGGAGGGAGGCAACGAATTGTTCGTCAACGACGATAGCTCGCACGCCCATTTCCTTTTCCCACGTTTCGGCCTGGCTCTTGGAGCTCAGCACCCACTTACCTTCGATTTGTTCCATGATATCTTGCCTGCGGCTGACTGGGTTAGCTGGGTCAATAAACACAATAGCACCCCCTGCTTTGATTACACCCAAAAGGGCCGCAATGGCCCAGCGGCTCTTCTCAAAGCACAGGGGGACAATAGATTCCGGTCGGATTCCCTCTTCTTGGGCTAGCCAGACTGCGATGCGATCGGAAATAGCGTCCAGCTCGCCATACGTGAAGCGGCCGTCCCAGGCGTCCACGGCGAGCATGTCCGGCTCCTCCTGCGCGCGCTGACGGAAGAGGAGATGGACGCATGATTCGACCGTCTCTGGCAGCTGGACGCTATTCCAGGTCCAAAGCTTTGCCTTGTCGTAGTCACTGACTAGATCGACGGCGTCTAAGCGGTCGTGACGCCGGTCGGGGTTGTTGATCAAATTAAGAACGTGCGCAAAGGCAGCCGCGAGGCGATCGGCTCGTTCCTGGTCGATTGTGTTTGGTGCAAAACGCACCACAAATTCGAGCTTGTCAAATGGCAGAGGGATAGCCACGAGCTCAATTAGCGCGCCCGTAGCGTCAAGATGGCTGGGAGATGAGGAGTTGAGGTAGGTCTTGTTGGAGGTGAGGGTCGTGATGGATTGTAGGAATGGCGAGGTAGCAGTTTCATTTCGTGAAGGAGCCAAAGGGACCTGGTCGGAGGCCAGCTCCTTCGTCGCTTGGTGTGTTTGTTGGATGAAGTCGAAAATTGTTGTTGCGCCGTCGAGCTGTGCGTTGCAGATTTGGTAGGTGGATTCAAGATCGTCGGCCTCTCCCGACGTAGTGGCAGTGATGAAGCGAGTGTCTTCCTGCCCCGTATACTGCCCTACCACGATGCTCCAGGCAGCGTTGATCAGAGCAGCAATTTCAGTATCGGGGTTCTCGCGATGGGAGACGCCGACGTTCTCGACAAGGATAGTAGGAGTGGCTTGAGTATACATGATGATAGAAAGTGGAGGTCTAGGTGTTAGGGCAAAAAGCGGTCGGTCGATTAACGATAGTAGGATTCAGGCAGCAACAGTTTGGCAGCGTTTTACAGAAAGGTAAATGTAGAATTCTAAAGTTAGGATACCTGAAGCTACTCCGCCTCTGGGTTATATCGTAGCCTAGGGCTGTATACTCGACTACGGCGGTATTCACACCACGTGGGGCTTAGCAGTAAGGCTTATTATGATTGTTTAATCAGGTTAGCCTACGGCCCCTGCAGTGAAGAGCATGAGGCTGTGGTTTACTATTTGTTATGAATTTTGATGCCTATTTTAGAAATTCGATGCCTGTTTTCTTTGTTGCGGTTTAGACGCCCAAGAGTGGCTGTGGTAACATACCCCTGTCGCAGGATTTGCTTACTATACAGTTTCAGCCTATATAGTAAGCAGTTTCGGCCCCAACATCAGATCAACCTCTCACACTGTTCTCAGCATCCTCTGTCCACTGTTTCTTACTCTCAATTCTTACTTCTTACTTCTCTTAAGCTTATCTGGTTGTCTTTTAGCTCGCTTTTCTTCCTTCCTGGTGCCTTTTTCCCCAATCTCCACAACAAATTTTCTTTTCCCTTCTCATATCCACATACCCCATCACTCACCATGACTAACTGCACCACCGATTGGAGCAATGTCACGCTCGCTACCTTCAATCAGACTCTACTCAATGATACCTCATTGTGTACGAAATGCACCTGTCCTCTCGTCCTGGACGGCGAGCAGCTGTCTTGGGTGCGATACTACCCGAACTTGGCGGGCAATGTCCTCTACGCAGCTCTCTTCGGCCTGTTCCTCGTGCTGCAACTTTTCTTTGGCATTCAGCGCAAGACGCGTGGATACATGATCGGCATGACCCTTGGATTGATTCTTGAAGTCTTGGGCTATGTCGGACGCATTCTCCTCCGCTACTCGATGTTCGAATTCTCGTGGTTTTTGATGTGAGTTTCCCTCGACGATAACTTAGCTTGAACATGAAAACTAACAACAATGACAGGTACCTTGTTCCTCTCACCATCGCACCGGCCTTTATCTCCGCAGCCATCTATCTGACCCTCTCGCGGATCATCACAATCTACGGTGCTGAGCACGCCCGCTTCCGCCCCCAGGTCTACACCTACATTTTCATCACTTTCGACATCATCGCCCTGCTGCTGCAAGCCGTGGGTGGTGCCGTCGCCTCCATCGCCGACGCCTACTCGTCCATGCAGGATCAGGGCGTGCACGTCATGGTCGGTGGCCTTGCGTGGCAAGTGGTGTCTCTGTTCATCTTCTCGTGCCTGGCTCTAGATTTCTATCTACGTGTGAACCGTGCTAGTCGCAAAGGAGTCCCGCTCAACCCGGCGTTCGACTCCCTCCGCGCCCAGCGGTCCTTCGAGCCCTGGTTCATTGTCTCTCTGTCTCTGGCCGTCCTGTTCATCTTTGTGCGGAGTGTGTTCCGATGCGCTGAGCTACAGGGTGGATTTGGCGGCGAGTTGGCCAATGAGGAGATTACATTCATGGTACTGGAGGGAGCCATGATGGTGCTGGCTTGTGGGTTGTTGACTTTCTTCCACCCCGGTTTAATTTTGGGGGCTAGGGAGTGGGCGTTGGCCAAGTGGAGTCGCGGCGGTAAGGGGGCTTAGATTAGATTATTTTCTTTGGATGCGGCTGAAGGCTGGGGATTGGGTGGGGGGTGTGACCGGGCGTGATGTGATGAGCTGGTTTACGTGGAAGAGTTTGTTTGCTTCCTTGCGTTCTTGCTTACAGATATTAGGCTTAGGCTTGGCTGGGCTTGGCTTGGGTCTGGCTTGGGTTTGGGTTAATTATTTTGGTTTTGTTTATCAGCCTTGCAGGTTGTTTGTGGGAAGGGGATGAGTGAATGACAGCTCAGAACCGAGTGTCATGAAAGGGCTAGACCCACTCATCGGAAGAGATACCTTTTTGATTTTGTTGTACTCACGATTAGACCGGACTTACCATGGAAAATGCGTTGGATACATGTTCTGATAATGAGATAAGAAATGGAACAAAAATCTTCCAACATGATCAACAACTCTTGAACCGAGCTTCTCGGGGAAATTAAGAGTCGATCAGTGGAAAATTCCGTGGCATGAAAGTCTTACCTAAGAGGAGTCGGGGAACGGAATCTCCTGTCAGCAATCTGACACCCACTAATGCACGGTCCAAGCTACTCCAGGCATAGAGGACGTCGATCATCGCACGTATACGAAGTATGGATCCAGTTGTTGGTTGCCAGTTGAACTAACTTCCAAGGTATCATTCCCCTAGCAGAGGCTCGGGCGTTCTCTGAGGCTCTTTTCTAAGAAGTGTTTCCCAACACGCTATGCCACGACACTTTCGCCCCCAAGCAAACCTCTAAAATAAATGCGTGAGAATACGAATGCTAAGACGGCCCCCATGTTACGACCAGTAAATCCCCGCGTGGGACGGATGATTTCCATAATCCATAATAAACGGATGCTAACGTATGTGCGGGTGGTGCCGTTGGCCCGTAAATTACTGGGGTTGGTAAGGCTGACCGTCGGGTATTGATTGACTCTGAGGCTGAGGCACTCCTTTGTTCCGCCCGGAGTGAACCTGACTCGTTGGCTTGTCTTTGGGGGATGTTGATCAATCTACGCAGTAACGTGGTCATCGCAGTTTCTTTAGTGATAGGGATGCGGATAATTATTATTGTACTATCTAATGTTAGTATTTCACATTTGTTTAGATGAATTGACTCCTTCCAAGTTCTATAGTAGTGCTGCTTTTCGAGGGTTGTGATGAGGTGGTTGTTAGGGCTCGTCGGAAAATATATATCTTCATGAATCTCAAGTTGACTCAACAAGTCATCATACTTAGACTGCTAGTTTAACATTATTACCTAGCATAACGACAACACGAACCTTCGGCTTAGTTCTGAATAGGACAGTCTCACGAGTCTAATGAGCTTGCTAGTTTCTATTATGACTATTGGTTAAGCAAATCGACTTTGCTCGGGGAAGAGTGAGATTATCTCAAGGTCCGTGCACTTGGAGTCGCTAGGCGGTGTAACTTATCAGTCGTGTACTATTATTAGTCTATCTTGGAAGTGACAAGTAACCGCCAATCAGAAACAACCTTCATTGTTGGAAACCAGGCCAGCCATAGTTGGGTATTTGTAGTCTAATCAATCAGATCTGCCGCTAGAAATCAAACCGGGAGGACGCCTTCGCCAATGGACCACACGAAGATACCAAGACAAGCCATATGGACAAAGAACTCTGATGAACAGAAAAAGGAAAAATATTAACACATCGCATGACTGCGATCAGTGGGTATCTTGGCGGTCGGTTCCTGTCACAGACCAGAAATTCCGCCCCTTCTTGGTGTAACTAACCAAGCCCCTATGCAATTAATTGCTTCGGGCTTTGTGCGTTTCGCTCGGATTTTGTCCGACGCAGCCACGTGGATATGCTACAATCCCGCGTCCGCACCGTGTTCAATGAGCAGTTTCATCATGTCTGTCCGCCCCGTAATAACAGCTCGTTGGAGTGGTGTGTAGCCCGCCCGGTCTCGCACATTCACCGATATGGGATATGTCAATAGCAACAATTGGAGAGTGTCAATTGTGCCGCGCGAGATGGCGATATGGATTAAGGGCTCGTCGGCCTCTGGATCACGGCTGGACAGGGAACAGCCCGAGGCGATTCGCCGTTGCGTGTCGGACATGTTGCTTGGCATTGAGCGGAGCATAGGGTCGACGTTGGGCGGCGATGGGGGCGGGAAAGGATAGTAGACATCGGACTCCAGCCATCGCATCGCGTTCTGGGCGCTCGCTGTCGAGGCCATCGTCGAAGGTGATGCAGAGGCCGGCATACTTGTGACAGTCGCTGTAATGTCTTTGGTTTTATCGAAGCAGTTGGTGAAGTCGTGGTCGAGGTCCGTCGGCCAGCTCAGTCCGTCGCCCAGCATCTCCTGGTCTGGAGACGGGAAATATGTACTCGGGGGGTCGCGGGGACCAGGAGAGACGCTGCTAGTACTGACTTGAGACGAGGCTCGCGTGGGACGGTCGTCCCCGTCGCTGGTACTGGCGCTCGCGCTGATGCTGCCGCTATTGCTGCTATCTTTGGGGGTGCTGCTGTTGCTGTTCATGGCTTCTTGAAGGTTTTTGACTTGGCTTTTGAGGAGCTCGACCTCTTTCGTGCGGTCGCGCATGTTTCGGCCTGGTAGAGAGCGTTAGCTATGCTACCTGTGAGTAGCGAGTAGAGGATGTACTCACGGTATGCCCGTTGTGCTAGACGGTTCTGAATCCTCCTCCGCTCAGCGGCATCAGGGAGATCCTCCCAGCTCTCGCCCGGCTTCATCAAGTCGGTGTATGAATTATGCTTGGGACGTCCAGATGGTCGGCGAGTATCAACGACCACGGGCAAAGTAGTTCCGTTTGACCCTACCAGAGGGTTCTGCTGTTGTTGCTGTATTTGATTCATTTTTTTTTCTCCCTAGTTACCTATCCAGACCTGATATGGACAAAAGAATTGGACGTAGATATACATGATGAAGGGATAGAAATAGGAGGTGCCCGGTCCACTTTTAAACTTTGCTCTGCCCCGGATCTCTCAGACCACATGGCGATTTTCGAAACTGGCCAAGACGGGCGGCGGCATGGCACGCCTCAAGTCATCATGGCAAGGCTGGCTTGTGGTTGGGGGCTTCAAACTTGTAGGAACCCTCTATGAAATGAGCCCTACACTGATCTCTCTCTCACACGCTTGGGTGCGAGACCAACTGTCGTGTCACAGCCCCCTCCCTTATTTTACCATCTTTCATTACGGTACCGACCGTCCCCCGCTTTCTTCTACTCACAACCCATTGCACGGACCCCGTAATACCACCATATATCTGACACGAAGAAAAGTATGGATTGCGGTAGAAGGACCAAGCAACTTGGGATCTTCGTCAGCCATGCAAGATGGCACTTCGAAACAGTTGTTAGTACAAAGATTGGCAACGCTAATCTATGTTTGATGGGATCTAAGCCATGCTCTACCGTCTTCCGGGTTGTTTCAGAATAGGTTTTCGCCCCAAGGACCTGGTTAACCTTTGGGTGGGATGGAACATGTCAGTGCAATTCTGGGGCCGTGGCAGATTTACTACTACTGTGATTACTACTCAGATGAGGGCTTTTTCTAAGCATCATACAAACATCCTATGATGATGGGTTTCACCTCTCGTCTGTTGTTAGTATTACTATTACTTTAGCTGTTGCTGCTGCAGCTATTATTGTTCTTGTTGGTGAAGAACCTTCTTTGCATATCATGTCAGCTCTCCCACCCACGTGGTTCCTCTCGTCGCAAGCTTGTCTGGATCAGACAACGTGGCTGTGGAATACGGGGGTCGTATTACGTCTTGGATGAATTTGCTTCAGCTGGAAAGGACTGTCTATACGTAAAGTCGGATGGTAGAGCGATTTGGGGGCCATGGAGACGATTGATGGGCAGTTGTGGTGGTTGGTGCTTCAGCTGGGGATCAGACCGCGAAGGATGCGTGATGGTTGACTTGCCGTGCCGACAACTTCATCTCTAGATCTCTACTGTGACAACCTGGTCTCAATTGCAAATAAGTATCACGGAAGGCGAATAGAAATTCGTTGTAATACCGAACCGAAGGCTTAGCTTCAGTCGCATATTCTCTGCATACTATCTATGAAACAACAAGAAAAAGCAATAGCAACAACATGTCTCGAACTGCTGCACCCCGCAACCTACATTCCGTCCGTGTTCCCAAGCAAGCAAAATGTGCTCCTTTTCCACATAACCCATCGCCATGGGTGCCATGTGGTTACAGCATGCATTCTCCGATGAACTCCATCGCAGACCAAATCATATTTTGCACACGGTCTGCAGGCCAGACCTCTTCATCCTTCGGCTGGATTCTAGCATCGATGCTCCTGCAATTCTTACTCTCCTCTCCTACCAGCGAAACCCCCTCTTTCTCCTCAACATTGCTGACAGACCTATCTCCATCATCATGAGTAATGCCATTATCATCATCATCAACCAACAATCCCGCCAGCTTAAAGACCTCCACAGGAGGCACAGTAACCCTCCCAGCCTTAACCACATACCGACTGACCAGCACAGCCAACACCCCCCTGCGGAGGTTCCAATCCGTCAACACGGCCGTGGGCCCTCCATCAAGGTCCACCTCTCTCAGTCCCTTATACACTTCCCTCCTCAAGAAATACGTAACCGTCCACAGCGAGCGCTGATCCCACGCCAGGATCCGAGTAGTCACGCAATAGCGCTGAAAGGGGCGAATTTCACGCAGGAACCGCGCCTGCACTGCAGCTAGCATAGGCATTCCGCCTAGCGATGCCAAGGCCGGCCCAAGGAGGCGACTGAGGAGGCGGGCGCGGCTGAGATCCGCATCTGTGAAGAAAGTGCTGTTGCTCTTGTGTAGGTTGAGGTCGATTTCCGGCAGGGGGCAGTGGGTTTGGCTTGTGTGGGGGCGGAAGAGGCTGGGTAGGGCTGGATAGAAGAGATTGGGAGTGTTGATTGGGTGCGGCGATACGAGCTCTTTGGGGCGCTGAGCGTTGCGGGGTTGCAGGATTCGGTAAAGGGAGGGGAGGAGCTGGAAGGAGTAGACGAGTGGGAGCGATTTAGCATTGAAGAAGAGGATCAGGATGAGTATTGAAAAGAGGAAGAGAAGCATTGTGATTGCGTATGGATGCTCGTGCTGATGGAGTTGCAATGGGACGAGTGGTATGAGGTAAAATGAGGTGGTCTGTTGAATGGATGAGAGGCTAAGTTTGGAAGGATGATTCTGTACTTTGGACTAGTTATAGTGTGTTAGTTCTAGGAGGCTAATTACTTGAGTGATTACTACGCTGGTGGTAGTCAGCTGCGTGGTAGGCTTCCTTGGGGCCAATTCGGGGGTTTACTGGATGCTGAGGAGTAAGAACTAAGAAGTAGGAAGTGGTCTGAGATTAAGGATGCTAATTTTGGTTCATAATCTGCAGCTTGTGGTAGGCGGTGAAACAGTGAACGACAAACACGAACCAACAATGGCTCCTATCGGGGAAAACACCATGTGGTTGGCATGCTTTGATCATGTTGGTCCCACGTGGAGACGTTTTGGTCGATGTTGGTGTTTCATCGTCTACCCGTTCGGTAAATCCTAAACATTCTACAGTCGATCTCCGTAACCAAGCCTTGTTTAGCCACCATTTTAGTGTTCGTGATTAACTTTAAAAATCCTTTCTATGTCTAATTCTCAAGTATCCAGTACACTCAAAAACCCGTGACCTCAAAACACCAATCCTCACGGTCTGGTGCCTGTCCCTTTTGTATCGCGCGCATGCTGCGAGCAAGATCACACAGCTTCCCATCTCCAGTCGCCTGGAAAACATACTTTTCGCCCGTTGACAACCGATCGATGGAAGCAATGGGCACCGCGGCGGCGGCAGTTCCAACGGCAATGACTTCATCTAGCTCCCCTAGTGAAGAGAAAGGGAGCTGATGTGAGATCTGTCAGCCCACCCGATCGCCAGGAATAAACCAAACTGGAGACAGACACGATAATACTTACCGGAGATTTATCCACCCTCCAGCCCTTGCTCTTGGCAAGGACCTGTAGACTCGAGCCGGTGACGCTCTCGATCGCATTCTCCGACTCCGGCACGACCAGCACATCCTGGCCGTCCACGACCTTATGGCCCAAGAATCCACTCGTGGCAAATTCTTCCACGAGGGAATGCGTCTCACTGTCAAGATGCAGCGTGATATGATAACCCATCTTCTGCGCCTTCCCCGCGTGGCGCCATACAGGGGCGTAATTCCCTCCGACCTTAAACCGACCCATTCCTCGTGGCGCCGCCCGATCAAATTCCTCGCATACCAAGCCCTTGATCCCCTGCATTCCGTGGTATGCCCGCGCCGGGTGGCAGTACACCGCAAAGATGCTCTCCTCACATGGACCTAAGGGTAAGCCATCCGACGCCCCGAACAGGACTGGTCGGATGTACAAGAATCCCTCGGCGTCGAGTGGGGGTACATACTCCGCGTTGGCAGCCACCGCGAGGCGGATGCACTCGAGGAAGAGATGCTCTGGGACCGGAGGCAGACAGACGGCGTCAGCAGAGCGGGCCATGCGCGCGGCGTGGAAGGTGGGTCGAAAGACGGCAATGGTTTCTTCTGCTTCCTGGGAACCATGACGGTGGCGGCGGCGGCGCATTGCCTTCAACCCCTCGTAACATTGTTGGCCGTAGTTGAGGCCCGGGCAAAGACCGGAGATGGAGATCTGGTTTCCTGTCACGAGAGACGGGGAGGTCCAGGATTGGGTGGATTGATGGAAGCGGAGCTCGACGTGGCCGTTGACGGGAAGATGTTTGGTCATGTCCAAGTTTGCCCAGTCTGAGTTTGTCATTAGTCCATGAAATCAATTGCGTGCAGGGTGGCTGTGGTTGGAGGAGGGGACAGTGGGGGATTCTTAGTGCTCACCAAGGCCCGCCTTGGGCGCGGGAGGGAATGGCGAAAGTGATCCCATGGTGTTTGGTTGGGTGAGGTATTTGGGGAGGGGGGTGAGATTGATGAAGTTAATCTGAATGGATGATGACGATATTTGATCCTGCTTCCATCCTTTTATTTCTTTATATATCTAGGTTCTTTTGAGGACGTCTTAGTCGGGTCCAAGTCATCAAGTCTGGGGGATTTACTGGGTCGATGCTCATTACGTGCGTAGTAAGCAAGAAACCAGTAAAGCCGCCGGGGCTGTGGGCACAGGCATTGAAATTCCTCGTCAGAGTACCTTCATGATTGGCTGTTCAGGTGAATGTGATGAGTCTAGTAAACTAGCTAATATTAGCCCTGGTTGCAGAACTGTTACCTCGTGTTCTGGAATTAGTGGATAAACCCCCGCAATCCTTCTAAGCAAACAATATAATCACAACACTGCCCCAATGACCTTGGGGTAGTAACCACACAATAAACTGACTAAAAGCCAGCACTTCTAGTAATTGGTTTGGAAGATTAATCTCATTTAACTGTTATTATTAGCGTTGTTTTTCAAGTTTCAGTGTTCCAGAACAGTCAGCGCATGATTCTAGGGCATTACTGTAGACGGTTAGTGTCACCGCCGCCCACTCTATCTTACGCTTATTTCTTACTATTCAACCATGACCACGTTTTTGACATGGCTTTTTTCCCCACTAAATATTGCTTACTACGCATAAGATTCACTGCATAGTAAGTTGAACCCTTACAGAACGTCACGCGATGGATCCGGTTCGTAGCCATCCATCCACAGCCTCTGTGACAAGCAAGCAAATTGCCGATCAAACATAGCTAGATCATGTAGGAAAAGACCTATCTCTCTCCACTTCATGCACATAGAATTTTCTACAGGGGTAGCTCAACACCATGGGCGCTCAAGCATCCAAATGTCCGGTCAATGTCGAGACGGGGTTTGGCCCCGCCGCCGACTGCTATGATGGTTTCGACTTCACTTTGCTATTCGAGGAATCTATCCTCACTCTTGTGCCTGCGGGTATCACATTATTCCTTTTACCTTTGTTTCTGTTGCGATTGAAGAATGAAGAGAGGAAAGTGGTGGAATCGTGGCATCATGTGGCTAAACTGGTATGACATCTGCCCCTTTGACGATAACGCAAGGAGACAGGACTAACCTTATTCACAATGAATTTAGGCTGGCTGGTTTGCCATATCAACAGTTACGCTCGTGCTGGTAGCTTTAACCGCCAGCAAGGGCCCAACGACACGGACATCAATTGCGGCTAATGTTGTTGTTTTGCTACTGGAGATTGGACTCACGTTTTTGTCGCACTGGCAACATGTTCGCAGCGTGCGTCCATCAGGACTGCTGGTACAGTACCTGGCTCTGACGCTGATATTCGATGCCGCGCGCTGTCGTACTCTCTGGGGGGTACAGTCAGGCGATAAGGTGGCCGTTGTGCTAAGCATCGCCGTCGGTATCAAAGCCGTTCTGTTCGGCCTGGAGGCGGCCGAAAAGCGAGGCATCTTGCTAGACAAGTTCAAGTTTCTGCCTTTTGAAGCCACCGCCGGCGAGTTGAATCTGTGGTTCTCGTGGTGGTTGAATCCAATCTTCTTCCGGGGATTCAAAAAGCAGTTGTCGATGGACACTTTATTTGATGTCGATCCTAGCTTGAAGGCAAATGACAAAGAAGATGGGGATACTTTGGCGGAAATGTGGAAGTATTGTGAGTTTTGCCTTTGTTCATTCATCCACAAATTGGAACAAATCTGACCACTCTCTAGGGAAAACCAAACTCCGCAATCCACCCCTGCTGCTGATTTGTCTCGTGCATGCCCGAGTGCCACTGTTGAAGTCCATCCTGCCACGTCTCGCCCAGATTGCCTTCACCGTTGCGCAACCGTTTATCCTACAACGTACGCTAAGTTACATTGAAAACGACGGGTACGAGAACCGGTCATCCGTCGGCACAGGGCTTATCGTGGTCTACGTGATTGTCTACATTGGCATCGCGGTGACGACTGCCCTAGCGCAGCACTGGACCTTCCGGATGATCACACGAATGCGCGCGGGACTAGTCGACTTGATCTACCGACACACGCTGGAGATGATCCCCACAGCACTCGATGGCGCCGATGCAGTGACGCTAATGAGTACCGACGTGGAGCGCATCACCAGCGGCCTTCGCACGTTTCCGGAGCTCTGGGCCAACCTCATCCAGATGGGCATTGCCATCTGGCTTCTGGCCGGCATGCTTGATCTCGCCGTCCTCGGTGCCTCCGCCGTTGCCGTTGTCTCCACTGGCTTGGCCATCTGGGTCGCCACTGGTGCAGGTATCGCCCAGAAGGCCTGGCTGGACCAGATCCAGTCGCGCGTCGCCGCGACAGCTAGTATGCTTGGTGTTATGAAGGCAGTTAAGATGACGGGACTGACGCAGCCATTGGGCGATAAGATCCGGCAGCTGCGCGAGGAGGAAGTCAAAGCGTCGTCTACGTTTCGGTTGATCTTGGTGAAACTCGTCACCCTGTCCAATGTCTCCGAGGCGATGAATCCAGTCGCCGCGTTCGGCTTGTATATCCTCTTACAGCGGTTCCAAGGCTATGCGGTTATGAGTACGTCCCTGGTGTTGACTTCCTTGGTGCTCCTTCAGTTGTTGCTCGTGCCGCTGGCAATGCTTATTGACAGTCTTGCCGGGTTTGTGGGTGCATTGGGATGCTTTCGCCGTATTCAGGACTATCTGGGACAAGAGACCAAGGTCGACGGGGAGAAAGCTCGTGCTGCTACCGGCGGATCGAGTAGTAGTAGTGAAGTGGAGAGCCTTGCGCGTCGAGAGAGACGGCGGACAATTCCTAGCTTGGTCTTGCCAACTATTGAGGTCGCCGAGTTCCGGTTTAGTTGGCTCTTGGCCGATTATTCTGGAGAACAGGGGCGAGCGTCCAGGTTCTTGGGAGAGGAAAGAGGAGGAATTGGTGGAGGTATTGGGCCAGGCAATGCGGGCCGTGTCGTTTCAGGTGTTGGTTCGATGAGATCCGCGCGAAGTCGCCGACGCACGCGACGCATCATCCCCGAGCCAGTGATTGAGTTTAAGAAGGTGTCAGCCGGGTGGAAGGACGGGATGGTCGTTCTCCGGGACATGTCGTTCAAGGTACCTCGGGGCCAACTAACGATGGTCGTTGGGTCCGTGGGATCTGGTAAATCGACGCTGTTGTATACACTCTTGCGTGAGACCAAGGTTTCTGCGGGCTCGATCATCGGGTCTCTGGACGAAGCGGCGTTTTGTTCGCAGTCGCCCTGGGTAATCAATACCACGGTACAGCAGAACATCACAGGCGACTTCGCGTTGGATCCGCGATGGTATGCGACTGTGGTGCAAGCGTGCGCGTTGAGTCTCGACTTGGCGCAGCTCCCACAAGGAGACCAGACGATCGTGGGGAGTTCGGGCATTGGCCTCAGTGGTGGTCAGCAGGTGCGCATCTCCCTCGCTCGCGCCATCTATTCGCGTAAACGTACGATTGTGCTGGACGACATCCTGAGTGGTCTCGACGCAACCACAGAGAAGTACATCTTCTCCTCCCTCTTCGGCCGCCATGGACTTCTCGCTCGCCACGGCGTGACTGTCATCCTGGCCAGCCACGCTGTTCACTTCCTCCCCGAAGCCGACTACATTCTCGCCTTGGGCCCCAAAGGCACCATCGTCGAGCAAGGAACCTTCACCGACTTGGCCCGGCGGTCCCATGGCGGGTATATTCGGGGACTGGAAGTCCGCGAGCGTCAAGCAGCCCACCACAAGCCCCAAGAAAGCAGCGCCACACTCGAAACGATCCCCGACAACGAATCCCAAGCTGTGCTCCCAAGTATGGATATGAACGAAATCCCAGCCCGCGATTGGTCAGTGTATGCCTACTACGTGGAGTGCTTTGGCTGGCCGCGACTGGCTTTCTTCATTTTCATCAGCGCGATATTCGGGTTTGTGATCGTCTTCTCGCAAGTATGGGCTGAGTGGTGGGGGAACCACAATACCAAGTACCCCAACGACAAGGCCGGATACTACTGGGGCATTTACTTCGTACTTGGCCTGATGGCCACCCTATCCCTGGTCACGGGGTGTACTTTCTTCGTCATGGCCCTGGCTCCCCGCGTGGCACGGACTATCCACACACGACTCCTTCAGACCGTCCTCCAAGCCCCGATGTCCCTCTTCTACACGACGGATAAGGGCTCCTTGACCAACCGGTTCAGCCAAGACCTCGAACTTATCGATCTTGAGCTCCCCGTCTCGGTAGTGCAAACCACGATGATCCTGTGCATCATCCTCGCCCAGACTATACTTATGGCCGTCACTTCCAAGTACCTTGGCGCCGCACTACCCTTCATCCTGGCCACCGTGGCCGGTCTGCAGGTTTTCTACCTCCGCACCTCACGCATTCTCCGTCTCCTCGACGTGGAGGCCAAAGCCCCGCTGTTCTCCCACTTCCTGGAAACCCTATCCGGGCTCGTCACCATTCGAGCCTACGGCTGGCAGGAGGCGTATACGCGACGGAATCTGCATAAAATCAACGAGTCCCAGAAACCATTTTATGCGTTACTGTCGGTGCAGCAGTGGCTCGGGCTGATGCTAGACCTGGTGGCGGCAGGAATAGCGGTGGTGCTTGCTACAATCGCGGTCAAGACCAAGGGGTCAACGGATTCCGGGCTGATCGGCCTGGCATTGATTAACATTGTCGGGTTCGGTAGCGCCATTAAAAAGCTCATTGTTTTCTGGGCGCAGTTGGAGACGAGTGTCGGGGCGGTAAGTCGCGTGAGATCCTTTGTTGGCCGGGTAGGTAGTGAACATAAGGATGGTGAAGCGGGAGAGGGGAGCGTTGGGCCAAATTGGCCCGAAAGGGGAGGGCTAGTGTTTGATGCAGTCGTTGCTTCTTATTCTTCTTCTGGTGATGGCGAGGATGGGGATGAAGAGGAAGAGGTGGAGCCGGTATTGAAGGGAATTTCGTTGCGGATTGAACCGGGCCAGCGAATTGGAGTTTGTGGACGGAGTGGCAGTGGGAAGAGCAGTCTCGTTGCTACCCTGTTTCGAATGTTGGAGATGGGCTCTGGG